AAAAAAAGCCACAACCAAGACTTGATTTACCAAAAAAAACCCAGAAAACCCCCCAAACCAAACCCCCCTAAATATAAACAGCAAAAAAAGATAAATGTTATCATTATTCCAGTTTTTTTTTTAAACAAAGAAAAGGATAATCGCTGCCAAATTAGTAAGATAAGTCTTATATTTAAAGAAGGGCATTGAAGCACACTAAAGAAACCTGAGGTAAGCATAATCTGTACAAAATTAAACTGTCGCTCTCGCTCGCTCTCTCACTCTCTTTCTCTTTTTTTTTTTTGCATTTTAAACAAATTTCCAACATTCTTTTTTTTTCTTTTTTTTCTCTATATTTTTAAAGACTGCCTAATTTATTTCATAGCCATTGTCTGACAAGAGTAGCAAAACATTATCAATAAATAGTCCTTATTTAGTTTGTACATTTTGTTAAAAATGTTTTGATGTTGTCCATGTTTAGTGCTGCAACTGTAAACGTACAATAGTTAGTAAGAAATTAAACAAAGTTTTCATGTCCAGTAACAGAATAAAAGGCCTTTCAGAAACATACCTAGACGTTCCCAATGCAGTAGGAAAACATGTTCATTCCCCTAACTTTGCAATATATACCAGCATGAGCTTTCATTTTTCTATAAGCATTTTAAAGGCATATCCAAAGGAGGTGTCTCTCCCCCACCCCCCCACCCCCCACCAAATTAAAGTTGACGATCTCTTCGTAGATGATTTTTGTAAACTCAATCCAACACCTGGCCCCCAGAGCAGGTAAGCTGTTATCAGAGGCAAGAACATCCCACTGCTGATGTGCAGCAACCCCATCGCGCCCTGCAGCTCAACCCCCCGCCCCAGACAGTGGTCACTGAATATTGCTGCTATTACTGCCGTTGCTGTCCATGCCATTAGTCTCTGTGGAGATTGCCTTGTTGATGGAGTTAAGGTTGGCATCGGATGGCACGTCTCTGCGCGGAGGCATTCGCTCATTAATTCGATCTAAGCCTTTGGCCTCTTCGAAGCTAGTGATCTTATGTTGGGGTGAAAATCCTTTGATAGCTAAATAAAGGATTATTAAAAGGTAAAATTAGCAAGGTAAAACTCTTGGCAGCTTTTCCCCCAGCTTAGCAATGGATGCAAAAGTCCTTCTTTGCGAAGGCGGCAATGAGACCTGACAACACGACCGACTCCTTACCGTACTCAGAAAGAGCTGGGGGTTCACCACCACCATCTAATGCAACACAACTATTTTTTCACCAAGATCAACTTCCAGTACTTTGTTGTCCTCTGGGCTTCAGCTTAAAAGGCTAAGAAGCTGACATGAATCTACAGTTTGCAATTAGGAACCATGCTTATGGCACAGTCATCAGCCAGTGAATTACCGTTTGTCTTTACCACTTACAGCCTTAAAGACATTGTGCCTCACTGGAACATCCTTAACCCGGCAAAACTCTCATTTGACTTTTAAACACCAGAGTAAAAAGCACTGCCCAGTTACTGATGGTGATGACACGATGGGGCCAGTTTGCAGGATGTACGCTAAAGCAATGGGTTGCCTTATGTTCTCCACACAGGCGAGCTGATTGTGGATTGCTTGGGGCAGTTGCCCTCCCTGATGCCTCCCTGGAATTCTAGTCAGCAGCTTGGGTCAAACAGCAGTAACGCTGTGCAACACAGACCAGGGATATCATCATTTTGGCATGTTTGTACAATTTAACTTTGGAAACGCACTGACAAAGGACCAAAGTTCCAACTGAACCTGGGGACTTTTCACCTGCCCTTCAGCAGCTACACTGATGAGGCCACACTGACCTCAGACGGTGGCCACAGGCTGGGGAAGGCATTTGTAGAATGCAACTTTTACATTTTTAAAAAAATTGGTTTTTCTCCTCTGATTAATTGAAGTGTTGAATACTTCTAGATTTAAAGCAAAAGAGAAAAAAGCACCACAGGCAAACAGCAGGTCACAGCTCTGCAGATAATCTGTCATAGCCTTCTGTGTGTTTTTCTCTTATCTGTACAAAATCAATGCACTGCACTTCCAGAACTGGCACTTTTGCTATGCCTCTATCTTAACATGCCATAGAGCAGAAATGGTGTGTTAGTACCAGGAAACTGCAAACTTGCCGGGGAGAAAATGGTAGGGGAGTTTCAAAGATCAAATTCAATATTCCTTCCCTCCCTTTGTCTTCTCTTTACCCTGAAGTACTCCTGCCCTCCTTCCAATATGCAGTCCCAATTCTAGACAAGCTGGTAATTTCTGTTAAGAACAAAAGTGAGCAAACGCCCAAGCCCCAGAACATCCCTGGTCCCAATCTACCACTCCTTGCATTTTGGGGGGATTGAGAAAAACATTTTCATGCTGGTATTTTTGCCAACCATTTCTGTGAAAATGGGTAGATCCTGTTTACCTCAGGGTCTAGTTCCTTAGCCAGTTTCATAAACGTTATATTGGAACTTTTTGAAGTGAATGAGTTTTAACATGTGTTATACTCCAACTCAGATAAACAACAACAACATCATCATAATGGTGATTAGTCAAGTGAACCAGGATGGAGCAGTGAAAACAGAACAGGCCCTACAGTGAGTTTTTTCAAGCGTGTTTTGTTTTGGTTTTTTTGCTTTGTTTTACTTTATCTTCCAGCACCAAACCAAAGATGTCTAACAAGCACCCAGACCAATCCCTTAAAACAACAGTTTAATGGATGGCCGTGTTGAAGCTGAAACACTTGCTGTGTCCTGGAGCTGGCCAGTAGCACAGCCCAGTTGGTGTTACCAGAACCTAAACCAAACTACAGAGGGACAATTGGCAAAAAATGAAACGTTTTCTCCATCATTAGCTTCACCTACATGGACTAGTCATTGCGACTACAGTTACAGCATCTAACTACCAAGGATGGCAAATCAAGAATTAACTTGAAGGGTGCATATTGCTGGACTAGGGGCACGTTCAATCAATTGCATTTCAAGCAGACACATTATGTGTTAGTGTCTGTAACACTGAGGAAGGTGCTCTGCTGTAGTTGCTGGTCAGACAATGAGTATTAGCAGTTTACATTGAGAGTATACTAAAACACAACACATAGTCACAGAAAATCACAGAAAACAGCCAAACTGTCAACAAGTATGCACACTGCAGATTAGAGATTGCCAATAGGAATAGATAATTCCAACATAAATAGCAGCTTACTCACTGCTATTTAGAAAGCAGTTGTATTTTTCTCTTACTTGCTTGTTCTGTAATTTTATTCACTGCTTTACAAAAATCAAAAACAAATTCAACTGGCCAAATGGGCACATCTTAGCAAAGGACAGCAATCATCAGATTTTTTTTTTTTTTTAATTAGCTAAAAAAAATAATACCCACAGACAATTTGAGGGGCAAGAACAAAATACAACTGAAGAATTTTGTTTTAAAGGGGAATTCTGAAAATTCTTCTTCCAAAACTTTAGAATGCAGATTAATATTGTGCCTCTACATTGTAACGCATTATTATTTATGTTTTACTGGTAGCACTTAAAATTGCTTAAGGGTTAGAGGTCTGTTGAAACAGCACCACAGTTTTCAATACTAAACATTCAGAAATCTTTGGATACAGCCAGTTACTTTACAGTAGCTAAAATGGTGCTGGTGTTAATGGCTGCTCTAATGTAAATATCCAGTGTGTAAACTGCCACTACCAGAGGAAGCAGACATCTTGTAGACAAATGCCTCATGTTGTTTTACTTTTAAAGAGAAACAGAAACATGCTGAACTGTAACAAAAGACCAATTAAAGTTTTTTACTAGTGACCTAAAAGAAAGGAAACAAACTGATGCAAAGAAGAAAAAAGAAATAAAAAAACCCAAAACAAACAAACCCCAACAAAACCAAACCAACAAACAAACAAACAAAAAAGAAATAAAAAAAAAGCAACAAACCAAAAACATAAGAAAAAAGAGAGAATATTTAGAAAAATCTGTGTGCTTTCCTTGACCAGAGATTGCTGAGGATGGTTTGAGGCAGAGACAAGACCCAGCCTCCAATTCATGGCTTTTGAGCTATGTGTCACAGAGCATTTATGAGCTGCTGCTGAGTTATGTCCCATGAAATCCAAGCCCCCTGATCTCCTCCTGTGGCATTACTCAGTACTTAGTTCAACATACAACAATTCCAACAGGATTGTAACTTTCAGAAAGAAAAAAACCCCAACAAACCACAACAGCAGCAACACAAAAGGAAACAACAAAAATTATAACATTTTCCCCTTTAAAGCAATTACATTTTGGTTAATACCGAGCCACGATTGTTAGCCCAACACCCACACAATCTGTACAAGCTACAGCAAAATGAATACACCCAGCAGAGCCCTTATCTGTTGTGGCACCAACAGAAAGGGGACTGGCCAATTTACCTTCATCAGCCTCAATAGCCTCAACAGTAGCTGAAGAGAAGAAAGGGGTAGCAAAACGAATGAGAAAAATGAGCAGAGGATTTTAACTCTAAGAACAAGTCAGTGAACAGCAAAGGAACTACAACACTAATGTTACTGTAAGTGCTGGATTTTGGCAAAACAGACACACAGATAAATGTTTACACATAAACAATAATTTGCAGATTGAATTAAGCTATAGTTTGTTTTGAAGCAGAAGTTTCACAAACGAGAAGTTTTTAAGACACATTTGAGTAGTTTTCTTTTGACTCAAAAGAACTACAAAATGAAAATGTCTTCCATATTGCACATCTGACCTGGAAAGGTTATTGTATAATTCTCCTAGCTTTCAATAAAAGCAGTTTGATTTGCCCTGTCAAAAGAGAATGAAAAATGGCATAAAGCCATCACACAAAATTCATACCACTTACAATGTCAGCTTGAAAAGTATTAGCTGCCAGCGCAAGGCAAAAGAGCCACATATGTAACTTCTCAGAATGATTTTTTTTTTTCCTGTCTTCTGACTAAAAGAAACCTCCCCACAGCATGGGACAGAATTTGCTTAGACAGTTTTTTCTTTGCTTGCAATCTTGCCCAGTTTGCTCCATCTGTAAGCATCCTTTTTGTCAACCCAATCTCTGAAAACAGCTTTCTTCTAATATTTTATTTAAATCAGTGGACACAGATGGAAAATTGAAAGCTGCTGACCTCCAAAACTGCAAAGGCTGATCACAGAGGGAAAAGTTCGTAATTGGGAGGCTGCTGCAGTGTTATGAATACACTCTGTGAACACATTCATTGTCATTAAAGACAATTTCATTAAAGTTCTACCAATCAGCTTTTGCATGAATTTGCTTCTACAGTTAGAGATTTAGAAGCTGATGCAAATCAGCAAATGCAATCCAATATAGCAATGGTACAGCTCAAATACTGAAAAAGTAATTTTGATTTGCAAGAACTTTTCTAGTTTTTAGGAATTCTTTTGACTTACTTCCTCTTATGTAAAGGTTTTTTTTGGTCGTCCATAAAACACTTTTAAATTTTTTATTTTATTTTATATTTAGGATGTTAAATATGGACTGAGATAAATACTAAAATATGTATACTGTTATCTTGCTGCATGGGGAAATGAGAGGAGCTAACCCACATGCACCAAGGTAAGCCTATGCCTCTCAAGCTACAGAGCAAGAGAGATGGCAGAAAATAAAGGAACAAAACCAATGCAAACATAAAAGAAAAAAAACAATACGATAACTAAGATGAGAAATTAAGAAGAATAACAAGATCCAAACCAGCACTGACGCATTAGAAAAGAAATGATGACTAAAATGTATACTTCCACAAGAGAACATACTACTCATATTTTCTGTAAAGACATATGGTAATATGAATGTGTACTTAACAGAAACTACGTAAGCTTCAGTTTGTTTGGTGAATGGGGTCCTACTACGTGTTAACTAACGGAGAAGCTTGTGTATAGTAATGTTTTACTAAGCCAGAATACTGCAGTATGAGGAGATTTTCCTTTTAGTCATTTGTAACAAGAACTTCAAGCAATTTTCTCGAATTCTTTTCAATTCCTAATATTTTTCCAGGGCAACAATAGCAGTCTCCTGGGATCAAATTTTCTGACAAATGTAAAGCAACTATACAGAGAAAAGCCTAAGTAAAGACCACAACCCCATTAAGAAAGACATCATGGGGAATCATAGTGCAGCATTTTCAAAGCAGAACGTTGCTATGCCTGTAACACACAAGTTGTCAAGAAGAAAAAAGGGAAGAGAAAAAAAAGGGGAAAAAAAGGTTTACTTCCATATACCTGAACCTTCTACATAAGAGAGACATTAAACGGAAAAATACAGAGAAGGACTGCTCCAGGAAGGAAAATAAGAGGCTGAGACTGCGCTAAGGTTATAAAGCATTTCTATTTCTTACACCTTATGCCAACAGAAGAACCTCAATAAGCAAGAGACATTTTTGTGTGCCTGCAATATGTTCTACAGCAATACACATAGAATAAAAAGAAGAGCTTACAGTAGTAAATTAAATATTTTGCATCTCTTTATTCAAAAAGCCCTACTATAGACTTACAGATCTCCTGTAAGAAGCACTTGGTACAAAACTGAACTGACAATCTGTATTGTGTTTGTGTACATGGCAAGCACGGTGTTTTTAAGAGCCTCCCTTTACTTGGGCTTAAATCAGAGCAAAATTTTCTCATGCTGTCACTCAGAATTGTTAGGAGAGAAAATCTAATTCTAGAGCTATTTTCCATCAGTGATTCTCTATGAGGAAGAACAAATCAGATAAAATAAACAGTTTCAATGTCATTATCTAAGCTGAACCTTCAGTACTCTCTGTATCAAAGACTGCTCTGAAAAAACCCCAAAAGATGCTGTAAACTGTGGAACAAGCACACTTCACATGCAATGCTGATTTATCATTCTGATTTCCATGGACATTTTTTGCCCCCCTCTTTCTTTAAAAATCAGTAGTACGCAATAAGGTTTGAGAGGTGGCCTTACATGAACTGCTCATTAACCCTCCAGTACAACAGACTGCCTCTTCTATTCTGTCCTTTGGATTTTTTTCTGAGAAGACTGTGGTTACTTTTCTTCAGTTCTGCCATTGAAAACCAATTATTTCTTTTACACATAATGACACACACAGGCAAAGATGCTTACCGCTTTGCAGTGTTTGTTTTCCTCCTGAGAGCACACCACTGGGCAGCATTCCAGTTGGAGTCAAACCTTTCAGTGTCAGCACACTTTCACTCTCTTCTCTGCAGAAAAAAACCCCCAATAAAATACAAATCAAAAGTAAGTAATTAATTGTCTTTAAAAAAAAGAACAAGATGGAACACGTCTTAGACACCTCTAAGCTACACATGCCTTGCAATTATTTCTTTATCTCAAATCTCTTTACCAGAACACACTGAATCTGCATAAGTGGTTCACCTTTGTAGCACACCATGCTTGGACTCCTACTATACTTAACACTATAACCTGCATCTACAAAACAAGGTATGACATACATTTCAATATATATATATATATAAAGCCACAGACTTGATATGAGGAGGACCAAAGGAGCAGTTATTGCCAACAACACATTTAAGTGTCTCATGCTATGTCGTTCAAAATCAACTTAAATTTTGTCTGCGCTAGCATTCACGTGTATTATTTATTAATGATCATCAGCCACTAAAAAAAAAAAAAAAAAAAAAGCGCAGCTAAAAGCTCATTAAAATTAATAAGCACTTTCATCCTTAGCAGTACTGTTCTTAATAGTTTTGAATGCTAAAAATGATACTGGATTCAAGAAAAATGTTTCCAAAAACTTAAATATATTTTGCTGGTTTTCAAACTCTTCGAAAACAACTCTGAGATTAATTTGACAGCTTTTCAGTGAACAATCAAGACTGATTTTCTTCAATGCCTCAAAATGTCGATTTTTGTGAAATAATTTAAAAGGGCTCCAAGTTTAAAACAGTGCTACAACCCTAAGCTATGGAGCTCAAGCATGTCACTTTACACAAAACACACACAAGAATCATGCTGTACTCTTATTCCGTCCCTGAAACCCTTGAAAGGATCCTGCCCCAAAGTCTTTGACATATAGGTGATGTCAATCATCTGCAATTTATCAAAACCCAAATCTATAATCTGATAAACCAATTTCAGGTCTTTCTGTATATTAACTCCAGGTTTCTGTTGAATTGATCCTACACTTCAAAAGGTGCTCTGCAACTATATACAGTAGATCCAGAAGCTGCAGTTGAAGGTTATGGGAGAAAGCCAGGTTTTCCAAACTTTGTTTACTCAACTACCATAAAAGAAAAATAATCATGCTGTTTTATGAAGGTGGTGCCAATGTCAAATCCAGGCTCTCTGCCAGACTTGGTACAGAGGAGCAGGTGGAAACATTTGATTGCTCCCCCATCTTTTTAAGGGAAAAGGTAGGATGCCAACTTTTCTTTTTTTATGAGTACTGCTTTGAAGTAGCTTGTGCATCACTAGCAATCCACATATAACACATTGGAAACCCCAGGTGCAAAGCCCTCCATCTCAGTATGTTATTTAAAGCTATGCTGCTGCAATCTGCAATGTGTGGGCAAACTGCTGTGTACATGTAAAGCCCCACTGACAACCTGCCCACTGCTTGCATGCTGCAGAAGAGTTTCAAACAAGCAAGCTTAAGAATTTCATCTGAAATTAAGAGTGTACTCTTCAAGCAGGTATTTTTATTTCCTCTTTTTATATCAATTATAGAATAATTCCAACACATTTTAAAAAAATTCCTTGATTTTGCAGTAGTCATAATAGCTGTAAACTGACTACAGCAGAGTAACACATGGTATTGTGAGAAAAAAAATCCCTCTGCTGAAAGGGAGGGAGAAGTGTGTTTTCCATATTTAGACTTCAGCACAGCACAGTACAGCGTGTTTTCTCTTCTGCTTAGAGACATCAAATGGAGAGTTCTAAACATTGGGTAGCAATTAGTTACTTATGCTCATGTGTTCGGGGGAGTGAAGCCCAAGGAAACAAGTTGCTGTTGCCTGCACAATGATTTCCTGGATTTTTAGTTAAAGGACCCTAATGCTTTCATCTTTAATCATCCTTACTCATGGCTGTGAGTAACAACTGTGGTAGCAAAGTGGGACAGTTGGCATCCTTTTTAATGAGACATGATGTGGAACATACCCTTTTCTCTACAGTTAAGTCTTGTCTCGCAGTGGCAAAGAGTTAATTACTACACCTGGCGTGCAAGTCTTTAAAAAAAGGGTAATTGCAATTTTCTTTCCTGATAGCTTTTGTTTGTTTTATGTTCAGCAAATGTCCTGAGGAAGATTATTCAGACCCATAATAAATAGCAATATTGTATAAGTAAAACAATCTTTAAAACATTCCAGTAAAACTCAGTTGAATGGTACATTAAAACATCAAATTTGCTATTTGATTAACAGTAGTGTGCTCTGAGTAATCATTCAAAGATGTCTTTTAGCATTAAAAAACCTGAAACAGCACAAAATGTTACCTTAATACTGAGAAAACTCTAGCCATTTTTCCTATTGCTCTTATCTTGTTCCTTATAACCTCCTTTCGAGCAGCAGCTGTTGCTCCTATAGAAAACACATTAAAAACAGTTATGGGGATTTGTAAAAAATACAATACAATTCTGAACTCTAAATACAAGAAAAAACATCAATGGTTTGCCAAATTAAGCCACATTTGCAGTCAAAAAGGAAAAAAACCCCATTATTTATTATTTACAGCTCACTTTTGAACAATCTAGTTATTAGTACCTTTACAGAGGTGATCCTGTTCCTGCTACACATTAAAGCTGCATGTTTTTCCATCAATGTATGCTATTTTCCCAATCGAAAAAAATTTTCAGAGAACACTCTTTTAAAAACAAGTTTTATAGAAGATAGTAAAAATCCCAAAAAGATAGTTAACATGAATGGTGCCCAAACCATAAAGGGAGAAGTTAAAAGTTAAATGACAATGAAGTTAACATCTATTATATAATCTTACAATTTTAAGTGAAAACCAGTCATGTTTCACTTAGTTTTCTATAAAAAAAGTGATTGAGTTAAACTTAAGGTCAAGAGGGTCCAGCTAGGGGCTTCCCATCCCTATTTAAAAAGTATTTAAATGGTGATACAAACTAAAGGCAGAGTGCTGAAAACCAGTGTGAAATGGCAGGGGTTGTGTTGGCTGGCAAGTAGTTAAGAGTTTTATAGATAGAACTTTCTTCTGTCACTGCTATGGCCTGCTCAAAATTACAATTACTTTGAAACTCACATAATAACCTGCCTCAAAAAAAATCTGCTGGAACAGAGACTACAGTTCAGCTAAGTTTGCGTATGTATTGCTGCTTGGGTATCATAAAAACCTAGGGTATCATCTTGCATCCAGGAGAGAACAGAGAGTACCACCTGAATGGGAAAAGCAAAGAGCACTATGTTATCAGAACAGGGCATTTCTTTTAATACGGATCCCTCACATCCCCAAGAAAATGCCATGTTATAATTAAATGAACCTGGTTTACTTAGTATCACAATCATAATCACATCCATCATGAAGATTTCTCCCAATGGTTTCTGAACTAAAGACAACCTTGGCTTGCAAGGATGCTGGCAACTCCTGGTTTGGAGGTTCAAGGGTGCAACCTGATGACCACCCATCACAATGCTTTCTTCTTCACTACTCCAGAATTCAAGGACAAAATTGAACATTTCTATCTTCAATTGCTAGCAGCCCAATTCATTTTATAAAGTGGAGTCCTTCACAGAAGCTAAAAGAGCTAAAAATGAGGTATGGTAGCAGAGGTGACAGTGCTGAGGAGCTGAGGTGGCAGCAGAGCACTGGGCAGAGGACCAAGGTGGATGGATGCAAGAGGTGACAAGCTACAGAAGAGAGACACAGGGTCTTGCCACACAAACCTTTCTTCATTGTATTATGAGCACAAAGTGACTTCAGTCAAACAGGCTCCTAACAAAACAAGGGCTTTACTGAACTCAGTGGCAGAAGTCCCAGGTGCTTCAGCTGCACCAGGGCCTCACATGCTGCTTCTCCTCTCTGTGGTCCCAGCCGCTCTGGGCTGCTCTGGGGCCAGCGCTGCCACACAGATTTGCTGGGCGCTTCTCAGAGCTGACTTTGACAATTCTCAGATTCAGTTACCTCCATGCATCTCTGCTGATGGAAGCCCCGTGGGTCTACTGTCAGGCACCATCACCTTTCCTACTGCAGATTTCTCAATTACAATTCATTTTGTGACAGTCTGAGACCACCGCTGGAAAGGCAAGCAGTGCTTCATGATACTAACTAGATGACGAGGCGGCCTGGCTGACACCCTGGCATTTCAGGAGGGTTAAAAAGGCTACACTTTTTTTTTTTCCCCTTGTGCTTGAATTTTAAAACAAAGAGCCATCCTTTGCAAAAAACTTTGAAAATAAAGTCAACTCTCAAATCCTAGAGCTGTTTAATAGAAAGGTAAGTAACTGTAGCAACAAACAGCACAGATAACAGCCCGTGTACAAATGGGTCCACATGAGCTACCTCCTATATGCCCACAGCTGTCACAATCTGCCTGCCCAGAAGTTGGTAACTGTACACCTAGGTGTTGGGTATGTCCATACATCTGCTGAGGAGTGTCAACTAGATGTCTTACAGTCATGCATGTTATTTTTGCATGCATCCACCTTTTGGGACAGCTATTAAATTCATTATATTCAGGCATTTCTAATTGTCCTCCTACAGTGTCTTGAAATTGTATACATGTATCTTGAAGTTCAAACTGAAGAAACTATGCTCGGAACGATGGGTCTCAGATCTCCCACATATAAAAAAAATATAAGGAAAAGATAGAAAAAATACAAAGTCTTAGGTGTGAATGTCTAGTTCTAGACCATAAAGAGTGATGGAAACAGTTGTAATTCAGCTGTAACTGAATTAAATGTAATATATTCATAACAGCTATGAAAAACTTAAATTAAACAATGATTTAGAGGATTCTTCAGGAAATAGAGGGGGGCACATTCCCACCTCAGTTAGTACCATCTCACTGAATTGTACTCTCAAGATACACAAGACATCATTTTCAGCCTTTTTTAGCCTGAAAGCACTTAAACACAATTTTTCTTTTTTTTCCCTCAAGTGTCATTATCCTCACTTGCTTATTACAAACCCACACTGTTCTAGTTGACCTTATAAGTCTATTTGACCTTTTTCAGTCACACTGTTTAACTTCCAAAAGGGATGAGAACCAAAAACTGGAAATACAATTTATGACCAAAGTGAAATACAATGCCCTACACTTACATATAAATTCAGAATAGAAAAAAAAATACTTCATCATAAAACACAACAGGCTCAGAGGTAGTATTTTTTCTTGCATTAATACACATAAAAGCTTTACTAAAAAATACACTTTAAAAGATTTTGGTCTCCACTGAATTTCCTAATTCGCAACAGATCTGTAAAAATTACTTACATTTTTATACATTTACTAAATACTATTATTTTCTTTACCCTGTTTTGGTTTTTTAAAATAGTATTTGCTAAATAGTGCACCTGATAGTCACAATGTTTTATTTCCCTGTTAGTTCTGACTGGGTACCACTAAACTACAGTGCTTGGATTTCCTAACTACTTATACATAAATCTTGGACTCACATTTCAAGTGTGAATACTCAGGTTTATTATTCTGAAATTCACTATTACTGCAAATCCTTATGAATTAGTTCAGCTACGCTTAAGCATACACTTATGTGGCAGTGAACTGGTCATAATCTGAGAACTGGCTACGGGTAAAAGGGTTAATTTTAGCATTTGCAAGCATTGCATGATATCCTCTTAATTTTTTAGTTTTCTTTGAATATCTAAAGAAACCCTATCCACATGAAGGAACATACCAAAAAATTATGAACACAGTCAAGTTTGAAGTTGGAGTGGAAAAATTATTTGGGAGGTAGAATAAAAGTTTTGAATCTTACTTCAGTGATTTAACAAGTTCTATAGGATTTTGGATTTGTAGCCTCCAAACACAGATCTTGTAAGTTGGATATGCAGAATTTACAGGAAAATGTAATTTAGACCTTCAGATTAAAATGCAGGACAATGAAAAAAAATAATTATACACTCTGAAAATATTCCAAGATATAGGATTGAACAAACAGAAGACCATACTGAGTTAAAAAGCCAACCCCAAATCTCTCACTGGTTTCAAAATACATTATATATATATTATCTAATCAAGCATTATGAAAATTAAGGGAGCTTAAGCCTTCCAATTCATTGAATACCTTTCTTCTGTGCATAAGTGGGATCTTCTTATGAATTCCAAAGGGAGGGGAAAGAAAAAGATCAGTGATGTTTGTAGAATGAAAATAAAAATAATACAGAACATTTGACAAGATCAATGGAAACGCAATGTTTAAGTAAAGTCTGAAAAACAGAACAGAAATAAATTAGGCAGGGAACAACCAAACGGAAAGAAACAGATTCAGAATGATGGGGGAAAAAAAGGAAAAAAAAACCAACCACAGCTTTTTCAGCTCTAACCTTTGTTAGTAGGTTGTGGAGGAAAGGAACATGCAGGTGGAAGATCAGAAGTGATGTTTAGCCTCAGTGGTACCACCTCTTGAATGCCTACTTTCTCCTACATTATTGCAGCTGCTATAGGTCAGTCCCTTCTCAAAAGGAGCACCCAACCCCAAAGTATATTTGGGGTGTGCCTGCCTGATGACACCTCTAGAGGAATCAAGCCACTTCTTCCAGTTTACTGAGATGTGGTATCTGAAAAACTACTTTACTATCACCGATGTCTGCTGCTCCTACCAAAATCTGTGCTACCTACTGCACACGTGCATTTGTCTGAGTGGTCCAGCAGACTGCAGTTATCAAATCAAACCACCACCATGGTACAAGGCATTTTCAAATCACTTACTTTTGAGAGCAAGACAAGCACACGCACTCCAGCCCAGTCATAACTGCACTTTTGGCACATGTTTTGGGGGTACTGGTTTATCTAATACATGCTGCTGGGTTGCTTCAGGGGCAGAGCACAGCGACATGCCCCAGGTATGGCTCACATGGAAAAATGCTTTGGGCATGTAAACAACCATATCTGGCCAAATAAATGTATGAATGAATAAATTAAAAGATCACATTAAAATGCTGCTCTGCCACCAACTCACAGAATAGGTACACATTGCAGCCCAACCTTGCTCATTAAGAAGAATAAACATAAGCCAGTGGGGAAAGCCCCTCAGTTTCTCTCCTACTTAAAAAGTCTCCCACTGAAAAGCTAAGGCTCTTTCATCTGCCCAGGTAGTACCATGAATGGCCTTATCAAGGCATGGCAAGTATCAGAGACCTGCTAAAGGAGAGGCCTTTGCTTTTGCTCAACCAGCCTCTGAGTTAGCTGGTACAGAGCTTGGCCCAGGTGCAGTTTACTGCAGGTAAAGGCTGTGGCAAATGTTGTATGCCAGTATTCATCCCAGAACCAGTTTTGGATCGACAGGAAATGTCTGACTTGGTCATTCCTTTTAGGCTCAGACTACAGCGCTGTACTGGGGAAACTGTATTCCAACCAAGGAATTTCCAACCAAGGAATAAATGCTGCAGCTAGAGCTACAACAGTGGCTTTTCCATGAGCAGGCTGTGAGCTACAAAGTTGAAGGCAATACAAAAATTAAGGCAGGTAATTTCAGAGTGTCTTTATGCTAAATCATGATAGCAACGCATAGAAAGCAAGCAGTACATTTGTGTCAGGCTGTCTGTTACATTATTGCACCCTTTTAATTAGCAGCTTAGTTTTTTCAATCAAACGCATGAGGCCAGAAATGTCACTAATTAAAATAAACCAGGACTGACTACATGCTGGCTGGGAAGAAGTATTTGCAGCTCCTGTTGCTAAGTGATATGTTAGATGCACAAACCATACAGCACATGAGCTAACATTCACCCAGGATCAGATTATATTGCAACCACCATAGCAAACAACAGGAAAGAGAAAGTACAGCAAAGGCAACTATCAGAGATATGAAAATTTGAGCTATCATATCCTCTCATTTTTAAAGCAAACGAAACCAAAAGGCCAATACAGGCCAGCATGGAGATATGGGCTAAAGAGCACTACAATTGCTAGTTAGGCTTTCTCCTGCTAAGCATACACATGAACTGCCTATAAGTTGCACAGATCCCTATGATGTGTTTTTAGTTTTTTCAATCAAACGCATGAGGCCAGAAATGTCACTAATTAAAATAAACCAGGACTGACTACATGCTGGCTGGGAAGAAGTATTTGCAGCTCCTGTTGCTAAGTGATATGTTAGATGCACAAACCATACAGCACATGAGCTAACATTCACCCAGGATCAGATTATATTGCAACCACCATAGCAAACAACAGGAAAGAGAAAGTACAGCAAAGGCAACTATCAGAGATATGAAAATTTGAGCTATCATATCCTCTCATTTTTAAAGCAAACGAAACCAAAAGGCCAATACAGGCCAGCATGGAGATATGGGCTAAAGAGCACTACAATTGCTAGTTAGGCTTTCTCCTGCTAAGCATACACATGAACTGCCTATAAGTTGCACAGATCCCTATGATGTGTTTCCTCAAGCAATTTTAAAAAAGATGAAAAAAAAAAAAGGGAATACATGCTGCTGAGCATCCTGCTCATGGCTAGATGCAACATGAATGACTCAGAAATAAATATTATAATAGTAACATTAATATTAATAGTAATACTAATAATAATGATAATAATGTCTCACAAGAACACCATGCAGTGAGGCAAGGCAATAATACTAAGGGGCTTTGCTTTGAAGGGGGAAGTGAGAGGGTAAAACAGAAGGCAATGAGGTGTAAGAAGATAACAAATGAATGATCAGTGCAAACCATAGTGATGGATCATTCTCATTACATGTGGGAACCCAGGTCAGGGCATGTTCAAACTGCAAGGAGAAAAAGGAAATCAGCAGTGAGCCCTGAAAACCACTGATGATAGAAAAATGAGCAATGATTTTAAAGAATCATTCTATCAAACAAAATGCATCTGCTGTTGCAGATATCAGGCGTTTCCTTCTACAGGAAATACTGCTAAAGCAAAACACCAGTGGGCAAGTAGGACTGCACTGCTGCAGTCCTCCAAGGAAGCTGGACAGAAATTATTGAAGAAGAATGGTGGGAATGTTGAGCCACTACAAGACTGTCAATATACAGCCCTTACAGGAACACTTTTAAGCGGATAACCATGTCAGTGTGTTTCATCAGGAACACATGAAATACATCTGTAGCTTCTCCCCCAAAAGACAGTGCTCTAAGGAATAAAAAACAAGGAAAGAGGGAACTCAGCTATTTCTGAGAGAAAGAGGATTTTTCCGTGCTGTACAGATAATAAATCAGAACCCATCCTTAGAGATATCAGCCTTATTGACATTTAAATCAACCCTTACATTTATTTTTATGCCCAAGTCCTTCAGTCTCTTCCATGTGTATGATCCCTACAAACCCACCATTTCCACTGGACTGAGGGTACATAAGTGCACCCACAGCAAGCTGCACAACCAACACCACAGATCCTGTTTTACAGCTCTAAGGGGAAGCAGACACAAACATATACCAGCTCTGGTTTTAACTACACACACATGAAAGATGACAAAATTTCTAGTATCTTCCTTAAAATAACATGGAGAAACCAGTCATACAGAAAAAATCTGAAAGCAGATTTAGACAACAGTATTAGCATTACAGTAGTGGGAATGGTTTAATTATTCCTCATCTGGAAATGTTAATGCTGTTAGGTATCATTATGCAGTACACACACATGCAAGCCCAGAGGATTTCAACCTGCCTAGACACCTGCAATGCTGCAGACTCCACGGCTGGAGGAATGTCATGGTAAAACTCCCAGGGAGACAGGGAGGGGGGTTCACCCTACTCCCAGAAAAATGCAGTAGATGCAGAGACCTCCTGCAGCTGGAGAGGGCTGCTGTCCCTAAAGACCCCTAACAACTTTCATAATTTCTGACTCAGCTTTTGAAAATGGGCTCCTGAAGTGTAACTTAGGCATGGGAATGCTGATATAATAAAATTTTAGAAAAGGACTAACAGGTGTTAGCCTATCTATGCTCAACGGAAGTTGATAACACAACTTTCTTTTAAAGTATTAGGCCAATGATGAATGAATTTAAAAATCCTTCCCATAAAGCCTTAACTTTGGCATTGCATTTGGCAGGATTTCAGCCTGCGCTTAAGTGCTTTCTTGAGCCAAGGATTTTAAGCATATGGTTTTGTTGCTACTGTATTTAATTTGACACAGTTTTTACTCATTGTGTGCCTCTGTACTGCTTCCCATGCTGCTTTAATTACACAGTAGCTACTTATCTAAATTTAATGAGAAAAAAATTGGGCACAATATTCAAACAGGTGTTTTCTTCTCTCCACTGATTACTGGTTTCAATAAATTCAGTCTTTGTCCCAAATCCTTCAAGATAATTGTTCATGTCCACACTCTGTGGTGGATACAGAGCGGGGAATTCCATCTGGCTTTTGAGAGTAAAAGCAAAGCACTATCATCCATGCTCTTCTCCATTGCAAAGCAAACATTTGTCAAAATACATGATCTAGCTTCCTCTTCTAAAGATTAAAAATAAAGACTTTGAGAGAGAAGTTTAATTATTAATTACAACTTCATTAAATATTTGTCTTACTTTCAAGTTCTGTTCATTCACTCTACCTACAAATATCTTGAGAATATTTGGTACTGCTAGGTTTTCTAGGATCTTTTAAAATTTTTAAATATTTCTGATCTTTTCCTAGGAGTGTTTTTTGTTTGTTTGTTTGTTTGTTTGTTTTCAGTAAAAGCATTCACAGTAAGAACATTAGGGAGGCATGGAATTTTCTTCAGTTTTGCTCAATTGATAAGGGACAGACTGGAGAGTCGCAATTTACTTTCGCGCAGCCTAACAGAAAATTATGTCTAATTAAATAAACTGACTTATAAGAACTCCCAAATTGCAAGATATAAAGTATCATTTAGAGTTAGATCAACAGGTATGAGGCAACCAATCATCATGTAAACTCCAACCCAAGTGACAACAGAAGTGACCATTCCTTTCGTCTTAGAAGAAATGTCAGGTCAGAACCTTCTCTAGCTGTGTTTGTATGTTTATTTTTATTATATCACTTCTCAAAGCCTTTTAGATATAAAAGTGCATTAAAAGAGGCAACTAATGAAATATTTCAACTACACATCTTCTGAAGTTGCAGTACCAACATTTTGGCAAGAGGTCTCCAGGAAGCTTATTTCATTGTAGGAAGATAATTTCATTGACATAATTAAATTTCTTCTGGGAATCCCTGGGATCCCAATGCATAAATTAACACCTGATCCCTTCACAATGCAACCTAGATTTTATGGAGGGAAATACTTTTTTTTTTTTTTCCCCCAGAAGAGTGAGACCATGGAAAGGGTTAAAGCAGGGCATAAATCCATTAATTCTTTCCAAAGCATGCAGTAAGCAAATCCAATGGATTCTAGTGCAACAGTTGTTTTCAACAGCACAAAATTAAACAGGATCCAGAAAAATATCCCAGAGTCAGTAATAAACTTTTAAAGGAGTTTCAAGGCAAACAATCTCAACCAAGGACAGGAGGCTCTTACCATCAAACCCATCTTCTTCTGTTCCCAATTCATCATCTGAGCAGATGTTCAGCACGTTGACCAGCATCTCTGTCACTAAAATGGAAAACAAATGCAAAATATTGATATTAAGCTTCCACTGTCTGTCAGAGAGCAAACTCCAGCTGCAGCAGTGCAGAAATGGCACCTACTTTTTAAACAAGGACCTTGTTTTATGCATGTAGTAATATAAGCTTGAATTATGCTGTGTAGTAAAGTACATGATTCCATTAAAATTGTTCCAAATACAACAAACACTGCAATAATTAGACCTGAAAAAAAACAGTGTGTTAATATTTCTCTTTTTTGCAATTTGCAACTCAGGCAGGGAAGGGTCAGCCTCAAGTTACCCCTCACCTGGCACCAGCTTTTCTGGAAAGATCAGCCAAAACCAAAAACCCAAACAAAAACGCTAGCAAAACTGACAACCAACAAAATGGAATTTAGAGATCAAAAAAGCCAAAGTTATAAGGTAAAATGTGAAATCATTAGCACATTGAGGATAAACTCCACTACATCTACTTGTAGCATCATTAAAAGGGTTACCAGGCATGTCTATTCTTGCACTAGCTACACAGGTTGAAAGTTTAAATGTTTTAATCAAGTGGTTATTAAAATCCTCTTCTGTGACAAGTATGATGACTTAGCATATTAGAAAGGTGGGACACAGCTATATTTTTCCTATATTAGTGATGGATTTAATATTTTCCTTTGACAGGATTAATGGAAAGACTTTCCACATTAACAACCACCAGAAACTAACAGCTTCCTACCTTGATAGGCCTTTAAGGAAAAAATCTATGAAAAAAAAAGGAAATAAATAAAAAGCTGTGCAGCACATCAGCACTTAGATCCATGAATTTTGTTTTGCAGAGAAAGGCAAAAATACTCTTTTTGCTTCTTGGGTCTTTAAAAGTTCCAAGCAATTAGTAAGAGAGACCCCTGGGAAAACATGGAGGAAAAAAAAACCCCAAACAACCCACAACCAAGAAAAAAAGATGCAGGAGGAGCATTCATGGTCACAGAACCTCAACAAATGTGACTGCATATCCTGCAGCCTCATGAGGAGGTTACTGATGGGAAAATTCTGGAAAAACTACCTTCCAGAGCATCTTACAGAACCACAATGTGTATGGACAACAGGCCCATTCTAAAAACGCTGAATTTGCAGTCAAAGCAAATGAAAGAGTTTTATCTGCTTTACAAGAGTCTGCAACACATGTCAGCATGGGTTACATAATGTCTCTATTAGTGGAAACAGCTATTTAGTCTTTGATAATCCCTGTTTTATTGTCTATCTGCTTTGTTCACAGAGACCTCAGGTGTCTCACCGGTGGCTTTCTTAGTACAAAAGGGTAGCTGAAAACAATGCTGACCATGACTGCAGGTAAGAGCCACAGCTGGCTGTATTTCCAGTTGCCTATTAAGAGAGAACTGTTACTCCAAGCAGCTTTTAAGAGTTTATTATAGTTTTGTGGCAGTAATTGCTGTTACAGTAATATACTATAATGGATGTATCAAAGCAAGCTTCATCTCAGGCTTGAATAAAATGACTTGGGAGTTTAAGCAGTTTGCATTATATATTAATTTAATATGTTAAGACTAAAGCGTTTTCATGCCTTTTGTGTGCTTGCCATTCATAGCATGAAGTTGTCTTCAGGCAACATATCAAGAGCATCATATTTCAATAAAACATAATTTGTGTTGCTTAGAGTCTTCTTGCCAACAATGAGGCACTGTATGCCCTGAGCAGAGAAGGGGCTGAGGAGCAGGTTTTCCTTCTTCCTGCCATTGCTTTATTCTCTCCAGCAACAGCTAATCAGACTGAGTCCTCTCAATGCCAGCTGTGTTTGCTGGTGAAAAAACAATCCATTATCATGTCAGAAAGTTCCACTGGGTAGGGATGTAACTATGGTGTAGTGAAGCCTGTTGAGATGTCCCTTGAGCAGAAAGCAATATCCAAGGGAACGGCCAAGAGTTTATAAAGGAAAAACTAATAAGCATTTTATTCAGTGGATGCACCTCTGGCCTGCAATGTTATAAACCTGTTCCTACAGCAGAAACATAATGGCATCACAGCCTGGCAAGAGTGGAAAGGATAAAAACATACGAGCAAGAAGTGTGATTAACCATAGGTAATAACATGCCCCTCTGAGGTTTGTTTCTTCAAATTTGTCCTTGAAAGCAAGTCACCTATCTTCAAATTATTCTTGCCATTTCAAAAAAACAAGGCTCCGTGCACAGTGACTAAGGAACCATTTTGCAGCTTCTATAAAACCAAGTCAATTTACATACCTTTCTCACCGACAAACGGCAAGGACCAGGTAAACACATCCATGAAGTTTGGAAGCCAGTACGGATGAGGGGAGCAGTTGAACTGTCTGATATTCATAACATTGTTCTCATATTTCAGTACGGCAGCTACAAGGGAGAAAGGAAAGAATCAGACCAGTAACACTCCCAGTGCCCACAGCTTGCAGAGCTGCTCCCCAGCTTTCAACCACTTGACCCAGGGGAGGCACTCGACTGCTAGTTATGATACAGCCTCAAGGAAGCTGCCGTTTCCAGCCTGAAAGTGGTGTCACCAGCTTTCCCTGGTACTAATGTGGGTTGGTAAGTGAAATAATAACCGAGTTGTCATGAACGTAGATGCTGGGAATCTGGCACTGGTGGGGAGCAAGGCAGACTTGTCCACAGCCACCCATTTCACACGGTTACCTGAGCTCCTTGCAACCACACTTCAGAGATAACAAAGAAATGCTTTTATCACGCAGAGTCTGAATGCTGCTCCTCCAGTGAACATTTTCTAATTATTTCATTCATAGTATTGTACAACAGATGATACTTTCTACTCACATTTCTCAAAGACTAGGCACAGGAGACTATGCTGCTGATAGTGTGAAAAATGCCACAAGTGGTCTCATGCCATTTAAAATTCCAACATTCTTGTCAACACATGCAAAGACTACATTTGCTACTGGGCAAAAACATAGATATTTATGCCATTGACATTTTTTAAAGCACCAAGCCAAGTTCAGTGTTTACTTGTGACTATGGACTTTAGGTTCATATCTGAAAAAGGATCTGATTAACTTCAACCTGTTTTTGCAATATGAATATAACAAATACATTGAAGTATTATAAAACATATCAGTAAGAAACTGCTGTTTATTTCAAGAAGAGACTGTAGCTGTACTCAGGCCCAGCACAGTAAGAAGTCAGATGAAAGGCTGAATGTGGCTTGGGTAGAGAGGGAGTGTAGGCAGGAGAGAAAGTGACAGTATCGATTTGGTTAGGGAGGAGCAAAGTAATCATGTTGAAAATTCAGCAGATAAAATACAATGAACTCTACAATAAGCCTAGAAACTGTCCTTATCAAAACTCATTTTCTCAAACACGAAAGGTTTGCTAACACTACATTCCACACCAAATCTAGAGTCTCATGCACCTTAATTTTTTTTTTTTTAAATAATAATAAGTGGTTATTAGAGTGCTGTAGATTTCTCAAACCTCAGGACATTTATTGAGACTGCCTGAAAGAAAAAAATGGGTATGGATTCAGCAGCTGTTTGTATCACAGATCTATTTGTCAGCTTTAAAATAATGTATTGAGAGAGCTTTAAATAATATTGTCTTTCAATAAAAATAATCCAGTGCTGGATTTCTGCTGTTGAATTTATGGGCCAACTGCCTCAGCTTGGGAAACAGTAAACCTAGATCTCATCCCTGTCTTATCCTTTTTTCTTTCCTGTCTTATTGCAAAGACACATGTAACATAAAATGTTAATAATGCAGTCAAGACTCACTCCGCTAACAGTACCTCTAACCTAATTAGTGTATATTTTAATTTACAGGATCTGTTTCCTGAAATTCAGTAATTTCTAAATTGCACAAGCACAGAATACATGTGCTGTTGGATGTGAACAGAGCCACTGAAGAAACAGAAGATAAAGTATTTCTTTTCTGTGGAGAAAAAGGTAATTTTGAGATGACCACCTAAAACCAAAGGGACTCATAACTATCCTGAACATGACAGGAACGCCTTCAAACAATACAGTTACAGGAGACTGCAGATAGGATCTTTAATCAACATGGGACTAATACAGTCAACACAAGCTGAAGCTTCCATCCATTGTAAAAGCTCCAGGCATTTTACGTTTTTGCTAGAAAAATAAGGTTGGGGTTCTAGTTCTCAATAGACAGCTCAGTGAACTTTATGTGAAGTTTGCTGGTCACCTCACTACTAGCATTTACATACAACTCTGAACGTAATCCCCACTCAGATGCTTACTCTCATGTAGACAGCCCTGACTTCACTACATCCTCCTGGTCATCACCTGATCTTGTAGCAGTTTTAGTTCTGTAGCTGTAGATGAGCTGTTACCAAATACTTTTTAATCTGGAGACAATATACTGCACATATTGGAAGACACACATGTACCGTCATGTAAATCAGCCTTCCTGATGAGATCTAGTAACCTGTGACCTTCAGAATGCCTGTCCTCAGCTTTAGTCAAAGACAAGTCAAGGTAGAAACACAATGATAATGCCTTCATAAATGATGAAGCAGCATGAATCAAAAGCACATCAGAAATAAACTACACCAAAGACATACAGAGAAGGAGGTATAGCCTACTTTTTTTTTCCCTTTCCTCCAGACTTTGAACCTGCAGGTACCCAGGGAGGAATGTAGTTCTAGGGGCTGGTTATTGCTTAACAGCCAGCACAACAATGCATCTGCACAACTGCAATGTACCACAGCACTGTAGGAAATGCAATGTATTGTCAGACTGGCTGAAGGGGGTGAAGAATTTTTTCTCATTATCCATTTCCTCCCATTGACCAAAGCATGTGTCAATCAGACAATTTTTGATGCACCACGCTGCTCCTTCCTACAAAAATTTAATAGGTTACTAAATTATGTGGCACTTAGTGACATGGTTTAGTGGTGGACTTGGCAGTATTAGGTTCACTGTTGGACTCTAGGATATTAAAGGTCTTTTCCAACCTAAATGATTCTGTGATTCTATATGTCTTCTGTTTTGTGGCCCATAGCAGAGTCCAGAGTGACTTCGGAGTTTCTGAAGCCTACTCTCTGATACACACAGAAAATGGCTTCACTAATGTTTACACAAACTTTTGCCAGGCAGACACCCTCCATTTAAACAGACCACATCTGACTCTTCCCCATTCTAGTCTGATAGTTGGCAGCCATTCTGCTTCTCAGGAAAATAAAAATGCCTTAATATGGCTATTAGCAAAAATGAGAAAACTAGTGTCGATGCTTTTAATGCTTCCATCTCTTTTTGGCTGAGATTACATACAGCAGATCGAAATTCATTCTCCTTCTATTACAGTGACACAATTGCGTAGTAAAGATGAATAGTTTGTGGTTTTATAGCAAAAATGAGTCAAAACCACACAAAAAGGACCACTTAATGGTTGTCAAGTTTCATTTGGAAGCACTAAGCCTCCAACTTCATCATCTTAGTGATAGTTTCCCCCTTCAGTTTATCTGTTAAGTCTATTTCTAAAATCTGTGGAAGTTGAATAAATCATTTTTACAAGAAACTTTAAAAACTGACCCTAAAAAAGAGCTTGAACCATAAGCAGAACAGTTGGAAAACATCAAATTAAATATAAATTACTTCAGTTCTGTGCAGGTTTTATTTTTTTTTTTTGTTTTTGTTTTTGTTAAATGAGGACAATTCATTTCTATAGAGATTACTGTAAAAAAATCTTCACATTGCCTCACTAATTTATGAACCTGAATATCTTACAAAAGCAAGTTCTGATAACGGTATTTTTAAAAGTATTATCTGTAAATGATCTGTACAGCTCTCCCCAACAAATTACTGCAAAAGCCACTTGAAGAAAAATAACACTATACAAAAAGCACAGTAATAACAGCCATATAAGTCTTCTAAAGTAACCTTACTCTTCATTAAATTAGGTACAGTAGTTACCAGTATACCAATTAATTTAAAATCTTTCATTTACAAGCATAATGTACACAAAATATTTTTTTTGAGTAACTAATGAAGATGATATTTGAACTTAAGCAAACTGCCTCTTGTTACAATTGTTCAGTTCTGACTATTGCTTAGTAAGCAGAAGAAGAAACTTCACCTGAACCAAGAAGAAAATGCTTCTCAGACAACTGAGTAGGAGCTTCCCTGAGTTCTTCTGGCTCCATGTATTCTTTTAGGCATAGCTCTTTTTTCTCCACACCCTTTTGCCTCAGAAAAAGCTTGTGGGTTTCACTGCTGCTTCATTCTTAAATCCAGATTAACCTGATGCCTAAGCAGCCATCAGAAACTCTAGCTCTCCTGAAAGAGCAGGAATCTTCTAAAGATTATATGGCTACAGGCCATATGGCTGCTGATGGAGGAGACACAAGAAAGTGGGATGGGTTCATTTGGTTATGAAACCCGAAACTGAGGAAAACATGACTCTATCTGACATTTCCAAGCTCAGTTGCTTATTATTCCAGGCTGAAACTCCTAATACTTTTCTTTCCAAACCTGTCCTTGGACAGATGCTAGCAGACCAAGCCACTAGTCAGTTTTATTGTGTATAATCACCAGGCAGAGCAAGAATTTTATTTTATTATTCTTAACAGTCACACACATTTTAACCTCATTTTGGTACTTGCTGTTGTAAATGAGTTTTAGAAGCTAATGTTTGGTAAAGTGAAGATGTGCAGATGTCCCAAATGACATTATACTTCTTTCCAATACTAGTAAACTGAGATATTTGATGCTGAAATCACATTAGAGAGAAATGAAACACTAATGCAGCAGGCAAGGGGCATTTGTACTGTTTAGCTTCAAACATTTAACACTGGTACCTAAGGATGGAAATACGTGTGATGAAAAATATGCAGGTAAAAAATCTCTTTCCTTCAGCTAGAAATGGAGACAGTTCTTCCAACTTTCTCAGGGTCAAATATAAGCACCCAGTGCCATCTAAGACTCCCTGAGGCACCTCGTTGGTCTCTCTCTGTTAAAGAAGAGCCTAGAGCACCCCTGCCTCCTGTGTTGTGCCTGTCAAGCCTGAGTGGATGTGTCGGATCCTTCTGGCATCTCAAATGGTACTTTAAAAGCCTTTATGTTGGGAGCTAAATTAAGGCCTTAAGCGACATGAACAACATTAAACTGTGAGACTGATAGCTGAGAATTACCCAAAGACATAACATATCCTGTTCAAGATCAGCTGAATCATATTTCAGTATAAATTAATTGGTAACATTTCCATCTGAGGGAAAAAAAAGAGCAGGCTAGAAATACTAGTCCTGAATGAACTTCATGTTTTTAGATTAACAACCTCAAAATCATTCTAGCAAACAAGGTAACTGATTTTCATGTATTTTTTTCAGAAAATTCATCCTGCATTTAGAAATGTCTATCAATTTCTTCATACATTAGAAAGAATTTCAATTTCTGATTTAATGTCAAATTAACTTCAGCATTAACTGTGCAACTTGGAACAGTGTCTTCTCCTCCAGCAGAGTTGCTAAGTAACCACAGTGTTTTCTGCTCAAGACAGGTCAGTGTCAAGGGTTAGTAACATGCTGAAGGAGTTTAAACTTTATCAAAGGAAAGAATTATTTATTATACAAGGTAATGAGGTAAATAATCCAATGCAGAAGGAGGACTGATCACAGTTGGGAAAAATCTTTCGTTACAGAATTCTGCAGGTTTTTATTTTACATGTGCAATGCATCTTCCAAAGAAACAGCATGATAACATTCAAGACTTTGTCAATAGACTGCAAAAATTACTTTGGCAAACTTCCCTGAATCAGCAATGAGATGGCCTAGATACCCTGACAGCTCCTCTTCAAAAGCTTTTGTTTCCATGACAAGGCCTTATCACAAAAGCAGAGACAAAACATTAAAGAAAACTGATAGGGCAAACAGGTTATGCCACTTTTCCATTGCTATTATTTCTCAGAAATCATCCTTGTCTTCCAGATATATTACTCTGCCTTTTTCAAATATGAAAATCATTTTCCTGTTAGACCCATTTGGATCAGGTACGTTCCTTAACGTGTATCTTTGGTGTGTCACGTGCTGATACTTTATACATGTTTCATTGATATATTACTTATCTGATATGTTAACAAGCATACCGATGTACAGCTGGTTTTGATTTTTCTTATATCCCAAACTCCCCTGCAGACCTTCTTCGCTCCTTTCCTTCATCATCTGCTTTTCCTTTCAGCAACACCATATGTATTTTGCAGCATGTTGGAAGAAACATCATGCTATTTTTTCGATAGCTCTGGATTCTCTGGTGGTTATTTCACCACTACAAAAGCTAATCTTTTAAAAATGTTCAAAAGACAATAGTCTGTCTTTAGACAGCTACTTAAAATTGTTCACTCAGCCAAAAAGCGTGCACTTTCTGAAGTGACAGCCAGACACTAAAATACGAAGCATTGCCAATGATTTACAAAAAAATTGCTGGCCCCCATAGAACTTCTGGAAATCTTGGTTTGGTTTGTTCTTTGTTGTGACACAAACAGCATTACAGAAAGTCCTAATTAAGGCATTAAGAAATATTGAATGTGGGAATGAAAGTTTAGATGCAGTTCAAAGCCAGCAGATGATACAATGCGGAAATTTTTGGCACCCTCTCACTCTGTTGCTATGGAGAATTTCTCCTGGCGATGGGTGCCCTTGAATCCAGGGGTAAAACTGTACTGATTTACACAACTTTTTGAGTTTCTTGATCAGTACAGCCTTCCTCTGAGGCCATGAGCTCACAGGTAACTATCACCATTCAGTTAACATTTCTCTTCTTGCATATGGAGTTTTGATCTTCTTCAGGAAGAGTATAAGAATGCACCAGTATTTCTTGTAACACTTTTCAATAGTAATCTCAAAGTATCTTTTTTCTGACATCTTTTAACAATATAAATGAGAGCACAAATGTTTGAGAAAGCTATGAAAATACTGAACAGAAGCTTGGAAGTTGCCAAAAAACGTATGTAAAAAATTCCTCCCCTTTGTCAAAACTCTCCATTATAACAATTATGGAAGGCATTAATAAAAAATAAAAAAAAAATAAATGAAGGATAGTCTTGGAAAGAGAAGGGACCACAGGCTCCCAAAATCTAGGCAGTTTCTGCATCTCTGAATCACCCCCTGAAAGAATGTATCTCTACTTCCATTAAGTACACAGGGAACCCCTGACAAGAGCCTCCTAATTGAAAAACTTAACTTTGGCACCCGAAGCCGTGCATGTGTGTGGGCTGGGGTTGGGACAGGACCAGCAGCCACATGATGACAAATTACTCACACAGCCTTCAAGAGGCCACGGCCAGTAACCGAAAGGATACAGAAAACTCTCCTCAGTGCTAGAATCCAACAGAGCAAAGCCATAAGACATTCCCATGGCAGGTCGGGACTATGAGACAGCCCATGCAGAGGGTCCACAGCAGCATTATTAACAGCAGATATGCTTGTGTGGGTACCCTACCTTTTTTTTTCTGAACCTCCTTTTCCTCTAGGAATATTGCTTCTCTACTGCTCTTTGAGAACTCATCTAATTCCAGAGGCTGCACTCCAGTGGGGACTGAATAAGGCCTTGGATAAAGCTGGCAAACAGACTCACTCCTTCTGAAGTGCTTTGAAGAAGTACAAGAAAGTACATTTGCTATAATGGGCATGAGCATTATCAACATGGGATAGAAAATGCCTAGCCCCTTGCAGCTTTTAAAAAAACATATATCTTAAAACCCACTGAATTTTAAAATTACCCATTCTCATCAGTGGGAGATAAAGCATCTCAGAAATTTATTTAGGATGACTTTATCAGCTAAGTGACAACAAGAAGCATACTAAGAATTCATACTAGAAAGGAAAGCACTTAGTAATAGAAGAGTTTCCAAGCACTGACAGTAACTAAAACCCCAAATCATCTGTAAAAACCAAATGGGTATCTGCATCAGTGCATGGTGAGTCAGCTAGAGCAACTGTCCCATAACACCTCAGTATAGAAAAGCCTTCCTATGGCTTTCTGACATGTCAGTCAGAAACTCTGTGTTCTTAAATCATTAATCAGCTGCACCTCAAGGAAACCAACAAGTAGCCATGTTTTGGACTGATGACAGATGATGGGGCTTTTCTTTCTTGAAAAGGGAAGCAAGCACCCAAACACTATTCATATGAAGATGCATGAGCAATGGAGCATGGAAAATTGTGCACAAGGTACTTGAAATGCCAAGAGCCAGTGCAATTGGTCACATGAAATACTATGTCAATACTCCTAATGAAAGAAAAAGCATCAGTTAAACCCCACAACAACTCATTACAAAGCTGCTTAAGGTCAGCCTCTACATTTACAGCAAGTCATTTATTAGAGTGGCACACCAGTGCCAGTCTCACACCACTGCTACTACACCTGAGCTCACTCAGAGCAGGTACTGCTGGCAGCGCATCCAAACGTCAGCTGTGACGGCAGGGAACCAGTGTCTCTCAGCAGCTGGCCTACAGCTTTTCACCAGAGAAGGCTTTCCACCAGTTTGAAGACCTGCCTGACACAGCTGAGCACTCTGGAACAAAGGAAATTACCCGCTCTTCTGAAATTGAGGTAATGGAGAGGGGCACTTATCACCACCCAAGATCTGTGGTTTCAAATTTCAAAGATTTTTAATTTTAGAAGTCACTGCTTTATATTTGACATTTACGTTCATTATAAAAATCTCTCATTGCTCACCCATTGCCCTCATGTGACAGAACTGCTACTGCATACGAAGAAACAAAAGGTAAAGGCTTTCTGTGCACAGACCCCTCCCTGCTCTTCCTGCTGTCAAAACCAGCCAGCTCAGAGATAAACACACTTTCCATCAACAGCAACAATGCTGACAAGAGTATCAGCCCATTCTTTGCTTCATCTTATACTTTTTGTGTTAGTAGCAGAGTCCCTATATTGTTTACTCTTCTAGAAGTAGCTTCTGGCAGTTCTGTTTGCATGGGTTTTTTTAGAATACTTTTATTAATTTTTCCACAAGTTAACATGCATATTGAGAACACTCAAGTGTACACACCTCATTTTCTTCCCTTGCACACAGTTCATGGCGTAACAGCTTTTAGATTATAAGTTTTGTAATATGAAATTATGCCTGACGAATCTTTCTTTTGCAAGTTAAATAAAAGCCACAAAACTAAACTAAATATTGCTTACTTCCTTTGCAGGCAAACATCCAAATTAAAAATGACCCTCCTCAAGAAAGTCTGATGTCTTTGCAATGGAGCTACTTTCAAGAATATCATCGAGGAAAAAAACCCCAACATTTTTTGTTTTGCTCAGAGAGGAACACAACTTGCACTTTGCTGGGAGAAAGTAAATGTTACAGCTCGTTTTGAGATACAGGATGACATGCTTATTAGAAGGCTTTAGTTTTAGAAACATGTTTTTTTTCCAGTTCATTAGAGGAGATTTTCAGGGAATGCAATAAATTAAAACTCAGAGAAGCTGGAAACAGTTGTATTCAGTGGAATCAATATAGAGTGACCAGTGATTGTACATTTGTGCAGTAACTTTTTTTTTTCTGATGATATTTCATTTCATACATAATAGTTCTTAAGTGATTAAAAAAATGCAAATATAAAGGAATTCATATCTATCCCATGTTTTATTCACTGATGATCTGCAAAAGTTTGTTAACTGGCTAGAAGGTTTACATTTACAAATATAATTAATTTTACTGGAAAGGAGCAAAGTGACAAATAATTAAAGAGTAACAACATTGGGCTCTGAACAGCTTGACCACAGCACTTCTTAACATACACCTCTTCGTTAATAGAGCTCTCTTCAATTTTGCTTCCTGTGTAACATTTACTTAATAACTTGCAGTCAAAATACAGAAATATCCTAGGCCACACTGGAATGTGCAGCTATGTTCAGAGGCATACATATGCCTGCAAGAAATGTAATTAGAATTGTATTATGTAATAAATGGAGTGGGCATGAACTAATAACTATGCGAAGAGACTGGGCACGAACTGATAAAGGAGTGAACAAGAAAACCAACTTTATACATTTGTGTAAAGAGAAGTACAGTCTACTGTAACAGGACTAAAATTCTTACCTTTGTTATTGTATACATCTAGATAGTTTGGTGCTGAAAAAATTGTGATTAGTGAAGGAAAGCCTGTTGTTTGGCTTTTCCTGTACATACGATACCTAAAAGGAAAGAAAAGACACTAATTATTGCCTAATGTTGTATGTGGATTTGTCATTGACCAAATATAATGCAAAAAACCCTAGTATATTACTGCACTGCCTGTTAACAAATGCCAAGACACAAGAACATGTATATGCACTGTTTAAAGCCAAGGAAAAAATATTTCCTACAGGTTTATTCATTATATCCATTTTGGATGGCCAGGGATCCAAACCATGCTGGAAGGCCATGGCTCCGTGTGAACGTTACTGTGCCAGAGGTGGGTTTTGCTGCAAATTCACTCAGTGCCCATCCCTGGAGCCAGCTGGTCTCTATGGGTGGGCACCCAAGGATATTCTTAGACTTTCCCTCTCTGGGCATGCAGGCAAGGGCAAGACCAGAGAAGATGCAAAGTATGAGAAGGGGAAGTGAAATGGGGGGGTAAAACATCTTCCATGCTGTGTCTAACGGCATCCAGTCTATTAGCCAGTTTATTAATATTTTCATTGCCTAATCTTGCTGCTTTATGAAAAATAAAAGCCTTATTGGACAAACATATAATCAATGAAGCATTAAACCTGCAAGTTATTGGAAGCAAACCAACCATATAGTACTTTTGTCTGACACAAGTAACACCAAGTACTGCTCTTCAGTCTTCAGCTACACAGAACTGAAGAATTTGGCAAACATTCACAACAGTTGAACTGAAACAATTTTATAGTTTCAATGCAATTCCTTCTACAAATTATTTTTTTTCACCCTTTACTGGAAAGCAATACAATTAAAATGAAATTTCATTACCTTTGGATACTTCATGCCAGTTATTTTTGGCAGAGTAATAGCTTGCTTTTAATTGCATTGAGGTTTTTAAGTATGTGATAGTTCAAACATTCAGAATAGCTTTTTTATATGCACAGTGAATATCGACCTCACTCCTACAATCTAGCTACTTTATCTTTTATTGCTATTCAGGTTGCATAAAGCTTCTACCTCCAAATAAACACAATAATAATTTATGTGAGATACACAAAGCTATTTATTCAGGTACCAATCCTTTATTAAAATCTCCTAGGTATGATTTCTTATATTTTTATATTATTTTATATTTATATACTTTAAGCAGCATTTTAAAAATTCTATCTTTACACTAGCAATAGTTTCACAAGGGAACCATTAGGTGCTTGACCTGGACTGTTTTTGCACACAGCGCCTTAATAAACTTAAGTTCACTACTGATACTCCTCCATAAATTATTTTTTGGCTATTGAGAATATGTTTATATTCTTGGTACAGCATAAAACCAGTAGGCTCATAAGTTTCAGTGAAAGACTTAAGAGATGGGAGTTCTCGCATTCATGAGAGAAAACGCTTCCCAGGCATCATGGCAATCAGTGTGTCCGAAGTTTCAGAAACATTTACAAAACTTCTCCAGCTTGGCAAAAGTTGTTTTCCTTCCCACATTTGGCATCAAAATATTTTTTGTCCATTTTATGCCCCTTAAAATCACTAAGGCTAAGTAAGTGGGATATATGAGGATTCATTAAGTCCTGTAACACAATAACAATGTAAAAGACATTCTAAGGCCAATGTATGTTTTTATAGCATTAGTAAAAACCGTGAACTGCTGCAACTTAAGGTTTTCCTGTTCATTCTCAGTTTCTCCTTCTTTCCTTGGTCTCTTTGCCAACTACAAGCCATTATGCATTATTAGTGCCCTGTCTCCACACATACTTACCCAGCATCCTGGGCTTCATGAGCTCGGAGTATAGATAACAAGTTATTGTGCTGTAGAAATTCACATACAGCAGGGTAACTGTTGAAAGAAAATAATAGCAACTTGTTATTGCATTATCAGAAGCACCACATTTAGCTCTTGCTTTCAAAAAATGTTTCATCCAACATGCATCATTCATGAAATCAGCCCTTGGTCTGCAGGCAGATTTCCATAGACACACCACTGGCAGCAGCATCTTTTTTAATCTTACCCAATAACTGTGTGGAGAGGAATGCTGGAAAGCTGCAATTCACGGTATAACAACAATCACCCTAGTGCTTGTCATAAATAAAGTAATTTATTTTATTATACTTTCAGATTCAATGTACTTCCAGAAAGGAAAAAGGGGTTACAACGGTTGCTGGCAACAGAAAACCTCCTCACTCACTAACTACAGTATGAACAGGATGCTGTGGACACCAGACAACATGGTGTGTGGAAAGCGAAGGAGAAAGACAGAAAGAAATGCAAATCAGTTTTCAAACTGGAGATGTTTGATCTTCTGAACTTTATTTCCTTGATAAACAAGAACTATCTTCCCCCTTAGCAACTTAAAATGTAAATTCTGTAACTTCTGAAACCCCAAAATGTGCTCATTGAATACATTGTCCTAAGACATGTTCTACTGTATGAGTTGAAACAAAATCATCAGGTGAAAATAGTTATAGAGGAACATGATATAGGAATTTCTATCACATTTCTCACTGCTGAGGGACAGTGTTGCTGTCAAGGATAATGGTGGAACCCTTTCTTACAACCTCAGCACCGTGAAAACATTTCTTACTCTTTAAGTTACTGAACACATATGGAAATTACACAGAAGAAAACCAGGATAGCATAACCTGAATGCAGTTATGACAGGAAGAAGTGTGAAACATTAAGAAAAAATGCTATTTTAAACTTACTCTTAAACAAACATTATAGAACTCAGGTTGTTGGTTTTTTCTCTTTCAAAAAAAAGTATTTTCTTCTTGCTTTTAAACTGCTGATGACTCTCCCTGCCTGTACTGAAGGATAACAAACCATAATGGGCATCTATCAGTTCAAGTCAGGAAGCAAAACCTCTCTTCTCCTGTCATTAGTAATTTAATACAGAAGCCAAGAAAGCCAAAACTTCCTGGCTTCCCATGAAAAGCCAACTGTAGCAAGAGCAAAACAGAATAAAGAAAATGCATGGAAGAGGGTACAGGAGAAGCGGTGTTGGAATAAAAAAGACTTAACACGTTTAGCAAAACCTTATCAGGCCCCTTAAAAACATCTAAGGGTTGGAAAGAGTATTCAGATTACATTCCAGACTTGATAGAGAGGCAGGCTGGAAAAACTAGGTAATATAAGGTGTTGGGGAAGACATTAAGACACCTCCGTGATCACTTCTGTGCTGGTTCTGCAGCACAAAGGCCTCGCAGTGTGCCTGGAAAATCTCCAAGCTTAACTCACATGCAGGTGCCATGTTACAGGACTGTACGTATTATCAAAGACCCTGGCAAGAACAGGGTTTTGCAGTGCCTTAGGGGCAAGATGCAGTTATGCAGTAACACTGTTAGACAAAATACTAAAGTAAATGTTCTTACTAAACATACTGAGCAAGTTAAAAATAAATGTCAACTGAACATTACAGAAAAGACCTGCTGTCTCAGCCATGATTTCACAAGCCACCTTCAGAGCCCACTTGCAATCACTTAACAGCCCCATCAGTTTCTAACTTCATGTATGAAAGAGATGAAAATTCATTAGAAAACCCCACAAATACACCAAAATCGAATGCATCATCTCCCTTAAGTTTATCCAAGAAAAACTCTACTGCTTACTTCCAACCTTACTGGTTATTTTGAAGCTGAAATGTCATTTGCAGCTAGAGGCTACAAACACAGCAGAATGGTATATTGCTGTTTTTGGACTTGACCCATCTAGCATGTATTCTCAGTTGTGGGTTTGGTATTTGGAATTGTCTAAGAAGATTGCCATGATAAAATAATTTCAATTCCCAAATTACATGGGGTATCATTTTGGCAACGGCAGTGATCTCAAATGCTGACAGGCTGCCATTCAAACCCCTGGCAAATGAAAACTAATTTGCATACATTTCTTTTCATAATTAATTGTGACTAAATGTAGACTTATGGTGCATTTTGTTTAGAAATTTTTACATTAACTTCTGAAAACTGGTTCTATAATGAAAAATCTGATAGACAGTTGATTATTTGTTATCAGTGTAGCTGCTCAAAATGTCTAGCCTGTTACTTTTTTTTTTCCATAGTATTCTTTTCATTCAGTGTTAAGTACTGCTTTTAAAAAAGATAAAATGAAGTGGTAAAAAATGCTTTTAAATAGATATGATAACCTGTTCTTTCCATTTCAAAGTACAGAAGGGGGGGGGGGGGGGGGGGTGTTTTTTTTGGGTGTTTATTCCTTAATTATTGTATTCTTCATAAATCCATGGAAAATAGACTTCCACTAGCAGAATTTGCATAACTCCACAGGGCACCCACCTAGAAAGGCAGAGATGCAACATAGTGCTCTAGGCAAATACATACACAGAAAAATCTGGCTGCCATCTTTACTTCTAAATGCATAGCATGGTATCTGTAATAAGCAAGTACTCATATGACCCATACCACGAAACCCATGAGCTGGTTATCTGGATATTTTATTTTTTAAAAGGCAAAATAAACTCTCAGGCATTTTTCTTCAGCTACAGGCTGAAGCAGGGGCTGGGGAGAATCAAAGTTTTCACCACATGCAGCTATTACATATGCTATACCAGCTGCAACAATAAATACAGGGCCTTTAATTTCCAGAACTTCCTTAACATCAGTTTGCTCCTGCCCAAATGCATTTTCATATTAAAGAATATTCCTCAACAGAAAAATTAAGTAAACAGCAGGAAGTCCTGCAAAATGCCAACAAAACAGAGATTGCGGAAAAAGTTATCAGTAACAAGGTTTTACAGAAAAGACTTCTTGGAATTTTTTGGTAATCTTTGTAGTGAAAATTATCATCTTATAATGAAATTCCCTAGCAGTTTTTCTGATCACCACCCTTCCAGAACCACTCTCCCCTTTGCCCTGCTTTGCAGAGCACAGACTGTAATTCAGAGGGGCCAGAAAGTAAGCAGTTGGCCAAGAAGGAAAACAAACAAACAGAAACACCCCCATGCAACAGGCTTTCCCAGAACGACCCAGCCTTCTGCCTGTGCTTCGTGTGTCATGCTGAATCACAGAAGAGCAGGGACTCATGGAGAAAACAAAATACTCCACCACTAAGCTTGAGAGACATTATTCTCCATGGAACATGTGACTGATATTCCCTACTTTGGCATCCTTTTTTTTTAAAATGAAAATGTGTCATGCATAGTTGACCACTTCTGAGGTCCCTTTTGCATCGTCACCAATTACTTCTACACAGTTTTGGAACAGAATCAATACTTTGCTAACATGAACAAAATGGCAAATGTTTCAAATTGCTCTTCTACCAGTAACTGGAAAAACTGAAGAGATTTAATCTATTGGGTTTTTTCATATCCCTCATCACACCATTAAAGCAGAGGCATAAACATTTTTTTTTAGACAATGACATTCAAACTTAGCCCAACAGCTTATCTAAGGTTACATACACATAGATAAAAAAGGTTTTCAGCAAAGCCCATTGGCCTCATGCTTCACCTTCTGAAGGCAAATGCTTTTGCTGTTCTGTAGTTACAAGCTACCAGCACAACTCATTCCATCTGCTTTTTCTTGCCCTTAGCTGTGCTCTCTGCAGAGCTGCACTCAGAAACAGAGCAAGAAACTGCACAGAATTAGAACAAACATACCCATATCTTTTTGCAGAGTCATTCTTTTAAAATTGGATGTTTTCTCAGGTCTGATGGAGCACATGAGCAACTCCATCAATATGGTTGAGCAGATAAAGTGAGGGCAGCAAAACACTTCTCGCTGGAAAGAAGAAAGGCTGGGCAAAAAGCATCTGTTTAAAATGCTGCTACTGTTAAAGAAAACAACCAACCCAGCATTCATACAACTGTGCCTTGCACCCTGAGGTGAAACACACGATAGTCTTCAAAAGCTTTTAGCAGATATTTTCTAGTCCTTGCATACTCACAAACATAGCATGTGTGTAAACTCCTGAAATGATGTGCTGGCAGGGCCAAAAGTACACCCAGAGCATCTGTAAGGCTGAACCATTTCACTGTTACCCCAGGATGGCAAATCAAGTTCTTAGAGGAACTTGCAATACTAGTCCCTCTTGCCACTGCTAACTATTTCTGCCTTTTCTGCCTAGAACAATGTAACAATGTAGTCAACAGCCAAAGAGTTCTACAAAGCTCAACATTCATGTAGAACTGATATTAAACTTACTAAGAAAACCCAAGAGGCTGGAGCAACACGCCTACAGAAAACTTCTGAGTATCTGCTTTACTTCTGAGGCCATCCATTGCCTTTGGCCAGGCTCAAGCCATTCTCATGCTCTTGTTAACAATCAGTATTTAACTAAGTCTTATGCACATAAATGATCCCAGAAAGTGAGTGTTAAGCTTGCACATCTACTTACTCCTGATAGGAAGCCCTTGACATACTTTATATAGGATATGACACTGCTAATAAACTCAGTGGTGCAACCAGACTCCTGACGTTCTTTACCAGAGCTTTGACACAAAGGAAAGAAAACAAGCTGGGTGTGGATCCAATTGCAATTTTTCACAGTTAGAGCCATGCATGCTTATAGTAACTTTGTCCAAATGCAATGAAATAATACTTCAATTCTTCATCCATCCAGTAAAAATCTTATGGGAATGATGATGTTCCCCATCCTAGTGTGGCTTAAAAAGGAGAGAGCTTTCTCCACACCTCAACAATCACCTACATCCACTTAGTGGCTGTCTCTCCAAAAGTTATTACTATTTTCAGAGAGAGAAAAAAGAGTCAAGCTGACTTCTTCAAGCTTTCTGATCACTGAAGGAAGCCATTCTCAAGACAACAAGTAGTTGTCTGACGCCTTTCTTATAGAAACACCTAAGAGTTACTGTACCACTAGTGCATGAAACAAGTGCAATGTGTCATTGGCAAGATCAGTACAACCAGCTAAGTGCAAATAAATATTCACTGAATAAATCCAAGGTAAAAAAATAGATAATCTGATAAGCAAAGAGGAAAATTTCTTTATCTGCTGATCAGCTGAAAAATCAGGTGTGGGTGGGAAGGTAGGGTTCCCTCTTGTTCAGAATATTTCCTGAATATGGCATTACTTTGGGAAAGGCAAAAGAAAAGCTTAACTCATAATTCAAAAACAATTTACATAACTAGGACTCCATTAATTATTTCTATTTTTTTTCATGAAATTGCATCAAACATGACCACGACTGCAGAGGACATACAACCTTAAATTTCAGCACAGGAAATGAAATCTCAACAATATTGCTCTTTGCTCACTTGAAGGTATAGAGAACTTTAATACATTTCCAGGAATTGCTTATATTTCAGTTACTTTTCAACCTGGCATTGTTCTGTTGCTATTTCCAAGAATCCATAAATTTCAACAATCCACACTGCAAAATGCTGCTGGATGCAAAGGGCACGCATTAAGCTTTGACTTTTAGCACCCTTGAAAATTAAGCTAACCATTTTTTACATCTCTAAATGACAGGTTAGGTCTGTGGTTTCAAAATTTGACATTTTACAGTCCTAGCCATAATAGTTTCAAGAACTCTTATACAAAAGGAAATTACTTGAAGAAAAACTTCATCAGTTTGAAAATGAATGTGCTGTATATGAGCAATCACCTAAGAAATGCAGTGAGCAGCTCATCAAACTACTGTAAGCTACAGTCTTTATACTTACTCATTTTCCTAAAACAAAATAGTCAGTGTTTCACAAACAGAGAAGATTTCAAGTGCTACTGAGCTGGAAAGTCCTGTTAACATATTACATGTACACAGTTAAAAAGCCATGTTACTGTTGTTTTCTTCATAGCATTTTGCTATAGGATATAACTTTAAATCAGAGAAAAGTCACTTGAAATTTGTCATTATAATGAACATGTCTGATAAAATAGAAGCTATTACAGTTCTTTCCTGCAACTGATTAAGAGATCTTAATCACCTAGAAACCATTCCTCTGGCTCACATGCACACCTGAAATCTTCCTGACCTTCCTTCAAAATGCCCACTGCTACCTTTAACTTTCATTTCTGGAAATGACTGGGATTATCATTAGGTAAGCAATTAGAGACCTTCCAGAGCTACTAGGCACTTCTTTTAAGAGTAACACTTTATATTATCTCGGGTACCATGACTCCAAGCAAAGTCATCTGCTTGTGTCATTAAGCAGTCACATGTCCCTCACACAGGACCTGACAATTAGGTATCTTTCAAATATTTCCTCTTTTCCTGAGATATGCATTTGTCTGAATGTGAGTCAAGACACAAACTACATCTGACGTATTTTCGGGAAAAAACTAATACATATTTTAGGGAAATTTTACGGTAACTGTAAGAAACTGAGCTCTCTGAGAAAAAAAACCCAAACTCTGCAATCTAAAAGTTGTTCCAGTATATAGTAAGTCCTGCATCTAAGCACACAGCATGTTTGCAAGTCTTTTTGCTTTTGTGAGAGAGGTTTATGAGGGGAAACAACTGTTGCTCACTGCAGGGAGCAGTGCCTGGGAACCCCAGGCACAGGCCAGCACTCGGTGCTGCCACGAGGAAGAGGAATGATTCCAGCCCTCAGCATCACCAGCCCATTTCTGTGCAGGTCAATTGTTTGCAACAGTTTGACACCTTCTATCATAACGAGACCAAACATCTACGAAGCACTTCCCCGACATTCCTGACCCGAGGACAATGGTAGGACTTGCCCAGGGAAGGTGCATGCCAAAATGCTCTCTCCTCAGCACATCTCCCCACCACAGAAACTACGGCTCAAAGGAAGGACTAGGAGAAAGAACTTCTAAAAGTCAAACCACCTGTTAGCTTTCTGCTAACATTACCAATAAGGAGGTTGATTCTAGTGACTGTTTCTTGGTTACTGGTGGGAGCCATTGATTTACTTTCAAGATGTCACTAAACAGCTACAGGGCAGCTACGATTCTCCAAGATCATAGAATTGCATCACAGAATCATAGAATGGTTTGGGTTGGAAGTGACCTTGAAGATCATCTAAATCCCACCTCCCTGCATGGGCAGGAACACCTTCCACTAGACCAGGCTGCTCAGAGCCCCATCCAACCTGGCCTCGAACATGTCCAGGGATGGGGCTTCCTCAGCTTCCCAAAAGAGCTGGATTTCTCACTTCTGCTGAGCTTGTTGGGAAAACTTAAGACTTGGGTGTCACTAACACAGGCTGAAGCAGAACCACTGCCTTCAAAAGGTTCAACAAGCTCTTAACATTTCAATAGTCTCTTTATATTTCTCCTGAAAATAAAATACATGTAAATTAAGATTCCACTAGCCACATTTCTCATTTTGTCATTTAACCTCCTCCCCTGCCTGTTTTTTTTTGTTCTTAACTACCATAACTACAACCAAAAAAGCCAAAAACCCTCAAAATCCCCACAATGTCAGAGGGAGGTACAATGTAACCACCACCACTTCTTTATGAGTCCCTTCCTATAATGAAAAGAGAATGGAAGTAGCACTTAACCAGTTCTTCATCCCCAGCTCAAGCACACCTAACAGGGTGTTTTCTTTTCTGGTGGCCACAAGGACTCTGTCTACAGAGCAAGAAGCCTGCCACTGGGAATGGAGAAGCACAGCAGCCAGCACCCAGGCAGAACTGGGGAAGGGAAACCCATCATTGCTTGCTTTTGTCTCCCTTCTGCTTTGCCGAAGAGGGGACAGTGGGACATCCCCTACCACTTAAAAAACCCCACTCCTTTAATGTACAGGAGAGAGACAGATACAAAACTCCCCCATGTTTAAAAGTCAACTACCACTAAGCAGAAAAGAAACAGAAGAAAGCTTCCTTTAAACAGTCACAAACCAAACCACAGCTTTGCTTTAAATGAAATTCTATCCCCATTACAGTAGAAATAATTTCAAAGATTAAATACAAAAATGTTACAGACACTTGTCTGCACTTCAGCTTGTAGCAAGTCCCATTTAACCAATGCTGTTCAACTTCTCAATTTCTTGCGAAGAACTACTCCTTAAACACGAACAAAAGTTTTATCAAACTGAGAGGGAGGAAAAATATCTCTGTGATGGAAATCACACTTTTTACTTATCCTGTAGAGCAACATGTAGTGAGTTTTCTAATGCTGGCATCTTTCATTCAAAATTAAGTTATCATTTTCCAACTAAAAATGGAATTGTCTACCCCTTTTAAAAAGTGACACATTCATTTCGTAACTTAAGAGAACAGAAAGAAGTAAAATACACAGGCTTTGGTGAGTAAAATCAAGTAATTTTAGGGTTTTGCACTTGGAGGTGAAAGCAAGATACAAATAAACCAAACGTGAATTTACCTGAAAACAAGACAAGCCTGCAGAAAAAAAGCCCAATTATCTAAATAGGGCCATGAACTTCAAGCAAATATTTCTACTGCAAAACCAGAACAAGTTCACATACAGAAACCCATTCAAAATAGGAATATTCACCTGTAGAAGTACGAGCACCCCCTGACTGTGTTGTGAGTAAAGTGTTCCTGAGTCTTCTCGTTTCCAAAGTCCTCCAATGGGTCTGACCACAGGATGTCACACATAGGTCCATATGCAGGTGGTTCCTTGAATCGATCTAACTAAGAAAAACAGGAGACAAAGAAATACTAACTTCTTTCAACTATGTATCACAGAAACACAGAAGCAAAGTTGCTATTTTTCATTCTATGGGTTGGTAAACAAAGAATCAAAGCAATTCAGTTTTGGGTTGCTCCCATCTTTAAAGCAATGGATTTTGAGTAACAGTAAAACACTCCTTGCTAAGACTGGCAAAGAGAAGGAACAATTTAACTTAAAATTAAGAGATTCCCGTTCTACATGAATTTTTGAGTGCATTTTTTTCCTTTTTCTCACAATTTTTTGCAAGCACTTCAGTGGACAAGAGAGATGATATTATGTCTCTATCTTATGATTTCTTGAACATTATGGCACTCCATTTATGTGAGGCAACTCAAGAAAAACTACAAGAGTTATTTCAAAGCAATTTCCAATTTTGATGTAAATACATTTTCACCAAAAATTGCATTTAAATACTGAGACAGCATTTCTGCATTACAGCATCTTGCCATGACATTTTTTTTTAATTCTCAAAAACTTAAACCTGATTTAAGCAGCTAAAAACTCCTCTTTCTGCCTATTGGTATTAAAAAATTCCAATTATATAGAATTATACTTTAAATAAGACAAAATATAGCAAAATAGGGCAATATTAAAATCAGTATTCCTCTGCAAGTACTCTTCAATGTAAAAACACTTCTTTATTGAGATGAATTTTAAAATAAAAATTCATAAATATGCAAAACTAATTCCTGCTGATTGTGAAATATGAATAAACCTACTAGTGGGGGGAATCTGAAGATATTAATGATCCTAATCTAGAATTTGAGAGCTAAACAGCTTTACCATTACATTGTTGCAACACCAGCTAATTTTTAAGGAGATCATATTTTTGCTTAATGAGATAGTGAACTTTAACCTCAGAAACAAACCTTCATATTCAGTAATTCTTATCTGTGCAGTTATAATATCTTAATCTAATTGTTTTAAAACAAAAACATATAGTTACTGGCTCAAGTGTTTTTCTTTCAACCATATGAATTAGTAGGCTACAAATTAACCTCAGAATATAATTTATCTTTCAGTAACTTTAAAGCTCAGAAGTATACATCCACATTTGCAAGTCTCAAACTACAAACATGAAATAAAATCTTTTCTGCTGGAAACACTAAGTGAACAGTTTAAATACCTCCTTTTACAAGTATCAACTGAAAACACCTGAAAAAAATTAACCCTTAATAATATCAACAACACTGGATTATGTGAAGAAATTGTTTGACATTGTTGTTTGAAGTTTCATGAGATTTGTAAGAAACTTATTAGAACACAAGTGCCTACCAGACAAGCATGACTTACTGAGCCCAGCCTAATTTGGTAGGCACTCAAGTGCAGCACTAATTAAAAAATACGTCCTGGCAGAACATATTGAGATTGAAGCTCACGTCTCTTTTAAAAATAATACTGTGGTTTTGATTATATCAATGCTATTCATTGCAATCACATCATACCCTTTTATTAAATGCTTTAAATATTGTGAGGTTTTCCTCGAGTTTATTTTTATTTATTCTCCAAAAAAGTGTGGAATGCCTTAGAAGGTGCAAGGAATCATCAGAAGGTGCGTGTTAGTAAACACAGAGTGCTAGAAGACAATGCCTAAAAGAAATTAATGCTCTGTATTCATTCACCCCTGAATACTTACATACCTAACATTATTTTTATTTTTTGGAACACAAAGATGATAAATCCTTTGTTTTACTGGATACTGGTGATTTCCTTATCTCAGTAAAAAACTACTAATTGCAGCATCTCCTTTTATGTTCTACTTAACAACAGCTTTAAAGGGTGATAATGTCAGCATAAATGTCAAAATGATACCGAAGCAAATGATACAAACAAATAAGTGAGAAAGGTTTCAGGTTTTAGTTGTTGGCAGTTAACTGTTCACTTATTAAACCTCAGCACTATTCAGACTTACTTTTCTGATGTCATCTAAGGTGTTGATCTCTGGAGACAAGCCACCATGTACACACAGGAATTGCTGGTTCATCAGAGCAGCCAAGGGAAGGCAGTCGAAGGCATCCATGCAGGCATCATATACGCGTTCTGAATATTTGATTTTACCTTTTAAAGATCAAGATGATAACAGAAAGTTCCATTAATACTTACGAGCAAACAAGAAATTAGGATGCTGCTTAGTATCTCACCTGTGCTCTGAGTGCTCTCTCTTGCACTGAGGTCTGTACTAAAACTTGTCTCATGCAAAAAATTCTTTGGGATTATTGTTATTCACTGCCAGAAAATTTCTTCAGATTTGGAGGTGAAACTAATTAAAGTTCTGCCAAGTTCAGTACCTTTTTCCAGAAAACTGAAAATAAACCATTTAATATACCATTACATTCTGCCATGAAATCTATACAGCAAGCCTTTAAAAGTCTGCTGAATGGTTATCTTCTACTACATTATTGCTTGATATACTCTGTGAAGTAATCAGAACTTTAGCCCAGTCCCTTGTAATTAATTATGTGCATAAATGCCATTAGGAAATGAAAGAGGTGGTACAATGAAGCTGAAATGTTAATTTACCAATACACAAATCAAACTCAGTAAACCATGAAGCCTTTGAGCCAATTAACATTTCCTTTATCTCCAATGCTAAAAAGGGAACACAGATTTATGTCTATAGTTTTAGCTTAAACTACCACAGGAAAAAAAAAAGCTTCATTGTGCAGGTAAAGGTCTAAATCTAATGAGCTTCTAGGTGTCAATGTATCCTTTCTTGCAACACAGAAAGGAATTCCTATAAAAAGAGCATACCAAAAACAGCTGAAGCCCACTACAAATGTGAAAATGCTACACTCCAAGGAAAAAAAACCAAACAAACCCTCGTGTTTTATGCTTTCGAAGGACCTGTCACAGAGGTGCCAGAACTGGTGTGCCGGCAGGTTTTGCCTGCCAGGCTGCTGCATGGGGCAACAACCCAGCCACTGCTGCAAAGAGCAGCAGCAGCACAGGTTTACTGAGGGCATCCAAGCCCAGGTGGCCCCACGTAGCCGCAGGCTGCTCCCCAGGCCAGGTTGGCAAGCTGAAATGTTTTGACACCTGCAGCACCAAGTGATGACAGCCCCAAGTTTGTATGGGTGGTCAGTCACCCACCACTGCAGAGTTCAGCCCTGTCCTTTCTCCACCACTGAGACACCCTCTCCCTCTGCCAGACAACTGCCCTCTCGGGGAAGAGAGATTGCATTTTAAAACTAATGAGAGTCAACATGAAAAGCACATTTAAAATTAGTAATGGTAAACAAGCATGAAGTAGCCACAAAATAACAAATCAAGTTGTAGAAAAGGGAATTAAGAGGAGAAACCTTAAGGTATACTTACATTCTTGCTTAAATGTGAAATACTCTGTTAAATGTCTACATTCATGATTCCCACGAAGTAAAAACAGTGTTTTGGGGTAGAGGATTTTCAAGGCCCACAAGTACAGCACACACTGAAAATCAGAAATAGGAAAGAAAAATATAATCCATAATTAATTACGTAATCCAACCACTTATGTACCCTTCCACCAAAAAAACTAGCAGAAGAAACAGTATTCTGTGTGAAATACTTCTTTTAAATGTGTTAACTTCACTTTTCACACATCACATGCAAACATTTCTCTGGACTTCAACCTGGGCTGGCTGAAATTAGTACCAGTATATTCTAATGAAGTTTAACACTTTTGCTAAATAGCATCTCCCTGTTCAGCCCTGCACTGCCTTCAGTGGTCTCAGCCATCAAGAAGCAATTGATGTGCCTCCCTCAAATGAAACACATACTCTCCACCTGGCAGGTTAGGCAGAAAACCACCCTGGAAATAATTTCACCTGAAGATCCACATTTCCTGGCATGAGGAAAAGCTTCCATAGACCAATTTAACTCACACTTCAGGAAATACCTCAGCTTCCAGTATTACAGTTTTCACATGAATGCTTGCTCACTTTTCACTTAACATTGTTCTGTATAAATGACTGAGAAAAAAAACCCACAAAGCTCTCGCATTAAATGTAGTTACTACAAAGCTTCTATAAACCCATTTATCTTTCCAAAGGATTTCTATTTGAAATGACATTTCTTCTACATGTTTTCAAAGATAAAAAAGGAGACTTGGAGACTCTGCTCAGACCTCTCAAAACTATGTGATTAAAACAGTTCTTTTGAAAACAAAACTGCCAGTGCAATGATGTCAAAGCATTACAAGACTCTTGACAAATAAGCAAACCAGCAAACTTCATAGAAGATTTATCTTTGTTCAGGATGACCCTGTTCAAGTACCTGGCTGACAAACTCACAGCTCCAAGGGATGGAAATAAGACCTATTCGTACCATGAGACGAGCCCACTGTCTGCAGGAACACTGTACAGGCCACAAACAGGCTCTGAAAAAACACGAGCTAGAAAATTGTTTGAACAATTTCTCCTCCAATCCCTCCTTTCTTAAATATCCATGAACCGCAGCAATGTTGCATAAGGAATAGAAGGTGTCAAAAAAACCCACTTTCATTTGCAACTACCTCCTACCACTCCCCTTGGTTCTGTTGACAATTTTTTTTACCTTTTTTACTTTAACAGCCAATATCTTGGAAATCCAGAGTGTACTCCTAACCACAATTTCTGCTAGAGAAATCAACAATCTTGTCAGTGTAACGCCTCTAAATGGGTACAGTGTGAATTCCCTTCCACAATTCAGAGTATCTCGTTAAAACTGCAGAAACAGATGAGTTATGTTAATCATGTCTGAAAATTTTGATTTGTGCTTCCTCATTTGCTACATGGTCCTCATATAAAAAAACCCCAAACAAACATAAAACCTCAACAACAAAACAAATCCAAAAAAGGGATAAACATTTTTATGTTTGCATTAAACCTCACACTATCCATAGACAATTACATAGCAGTAGGGGTATTAAACTACTACTCTTTGTCATGAATTTATTACACGTGAACATCTGGGTGCTCTGCCTACACTCTAATCTCTGCTCTTCTTCTCAGGGGGTCTAGAACCAGGAACAAAGAGCAGAAAGTACAGAGAGCATCCTCCAGGGCCTGCAAAAGTAATTCCCCCCTTGGAAATGCATGGCATGGAATGCCTCCCAGCTTACCCCATCTCTCCCACCTCCTGGGCATTATGGACACTGCAGGAAGCAAAAAAGAGACACTACAATGCTAGGTAGATCCAGTGTGAAATTACGGTGTTAGGTCACAGGAACTATCTGCTGTTGCCCAAAACAATCACAAAGGATGTGCCTGGGGAAGATTTCCTGGAGTTTGCACAGAGAGACTTGGCTTTGAAGACTGAAATCCTTCAGTGGGGAAGGAAGCCTGTTCCTCATGTCTTCAGTGCCAATTCTCCATCTCTTCGATGACGACTTCATCTTTTCTCCAAGAATTCCCAAAACCTTCTGCTTCATTGAACTTACTGGCTAATGCAAAATTTTGATGTAAATGTTTTGAAGCTAGAAGTTCAAAGTGACACCCCTATCCAAGTAAAAAAAAGTTCCAGCTTTTAAAGTTCTAAGTTACCCTAGAGCTTCTAATCCTGCCAAAGCAACTTACAATTTAGAAAAGCACCATGATTAGTGCTTAGAAAATGTACTTTAATATTAAAAAAAATAATTTAAAAAGTGTGGTTTAAATTTGTCTTACAACTAAGTTTTTCATTTTCATGTTTTCCTAAAGTCTTGTCAAGATTGAAATGAGCACTAGGTACTTAAAATATTATCCCAATTTGAGAAACGGGAAAGAAATCTGGAAGTTTGATCTTTTGCACATTCGGTACTTGCTTACATGTAGATCTTTCTACATTTGCTTATTGTACGTTTATTTTTTTCCTTTTTTTCTCTGGTTCCTTTGAAGCATTCATGAGAACCAGACCAAGAAGATAACAGAGAATCTATGCAGTCCAGAAAGTTCTGTGTTTCCCTGCCACTATTCAAGTAATTTAAGCCCACCGTTCATATCTTGTGATGTTTTCAAGTGATACCATATTGAAGGCTTATTTTGTTTAGACAATTCCTTTAATTTTCTCCTTTTTCGGAACCTGAAGCCCAACACTGTAATATCAAACAAGAACTAATTACTGGATCATTTTTTTCCCCATACAAACTAGACAGCAAATACAATTGTGACAATTTTTGTGGCTTTTCAACTTAGTCTTTTACATACTAAAAAACTTATGCCCAAACATTCTGGTTTTATTTTTTTCTAACTATGCTTTGCATATTTTAATTCTTTCTGAAGTCAAAAGATGTGTGATAATTTGTTTTTGTTGAAAATCTGAACTCAGTGTCTCTAAGTATTTGGTAATACTGCTTTCCAATAGCAATATTTTAAAATATTTGTTTTTCCTCTCCAACTTCTTTCCATCAAGATTATATGATGCATCAGCTCTGCTGTGACTCTGTAAAGTGTACATAAGTGACTTCGCAATATGGACATCTCTCTGGTATTTCTGGCCAGTCTCACTTCATACCACCAAAAAAAAATTTACATTTCTTAATGCCAGCTCTTCAACTGCACCCCTGCTAACTTGCTTAGTATCTTTCAGCTGTTGAAATACTAGATGTTTTAAGTTTATAACAAAGAGGTAATCGGCTCACCTCCCAGCTCCTACAGTCAAACTGTTTTCCTGGTGAGGCTCTGGCAGCCTCATCATCAAGAAAGAAAAGATCTGTGCAAGAAAGTGCTGTGTAAGCCAAAGGCACATATTTTCAATATGGATGCGGGATTTAACTCCACTGTTGCATGCTGAATTTGAGCCCTCACACAATTCGACATCTCAGCTCCTTCTGAAAAGGCAAAACCAAAAGCCTCAGACCTCTCACAGGCATCTCAAGTCTCAGAGACACAGATACATTGCACCTGTAACCAACATACAAGAGAGGCAAGTTCTTGCCATCTCCGAAATACCATTCCTTGAATACAGAGAAAGAAAACTTTGAACACTACTGAAAACAAAGAAAAGATTGTATTGTCTTGGCTGCAACCAGAATTTTATGATTTTTTCAGGGCATAAAAGGTGATCTCTTAAGGCTCTGCTGCAGAACAGGGACAATGAGGTAGTGCGACTTGCATCAACTAGATCTTCAGTGACAACTTATAGTCTTTGCCACAACTTATTTGCCTATGTACTCTTATTTTACCTGTTTTTCATGTTTCTAAACCCAGAGATCACATACATACAGGTTGCATATTAAAAAATTTAAAAGGCTACTGCTGTAGAAATAGACTTCTTGTGGACTTAGCAGTGAAGCCACTCCTCCTGGTCAGGGTCTTGCCTGTTTCTAAAATATTGTTCAAGAATCTCATTCTGATAAGTTATCACCTACAAAATGTTGCTACATTCCTTATACCCTCTTCCACAGAAAGACCCTAACAGGTCCAGAAAGGAAGTACCTTGTTTTGAATCAGAAAGTGACTAGAAAATTATTATTTTTTTTTTTTTCGAAATATTCCTCTAATTCTTACAGCTAGCACTTTCTAAGCAGGTATCCAAGTGCCAGCTCCTAGATCTCCTCATTGGACATTGTCTCTGGGCCCCAGCTGTTTTCTGTGGAGATGGATGGGTTCCAGAGAGAGATTGGGAAATGTGTGACATTGAGTGACCTCCAGGGCACTATCCTGTGTTCCCTCCTCACAGCCAAAAGGGGTTCTTGGCACCTTGGTGTCTCGCTCTGGGAACAGCTGGTGCAGGACAAGGCAAGCTGCAAGGATGGTCCTGACACAAACAGGTGTTCCAGTCTGGGAATGTAATATATTAAAAAATAATTGGAATTTGCTGAAACAGTGAATATTCATGTTTCTGAGGAGTGCTGCCCAGCAAAAACAAGATCTTACAAGATGCAAATTCTTGCTGGAGAGACATGTATTTACTACTGCGACAGAGAAGAAAGGGGTAAGGAAATTTAGGATAATTAAGCTATTAGGATTTTCTTTGCTCTGAGAGAAGTGAAAAAAACAATTGACTTCACTGGTTAACTATTTATGATTAGCCACAACTATTTGAAATAAGGCTGTTTATTGGGAAACATTAACACACAACAGCAGTGGAGGAAATGGAAAGGTGTTTACTCTTCCAGTGATGTCCTAGAAAGTGCCCAGAGACTTGAGAGATGACAAACACACCCACAGTTTACTAACACAAATTTATGTGTATGTAATTATTTCCTTGGGAGAAACTAGTTAATAATTTCTAACAGTTCACTGAGTTCAGAAGCATGTCAAATGCTTTTTTAATTGATGTAAGATCCAATGGTCAAATTCCAGACTCACTCCGAACACCTCACTTTGTTCTCACTAGAAAAACAGTTTTTCCTTCTGGAATGCGTTCGGGAAATGAAGATGAAAAATGTTTTGAACCTTAAAACACAACTCTGGTTTTGTTAATTTTAAACATTGGTTTGATTTTCTGTATTTCAGCTATCTGCTGTGTCAAAAACTATCAGTGTGTACCTTGTGATAATCAGTTAGGATTTAAGCCTGTAGGTTTTCATGTGGGATTGGGCAGGAAAATGATTCCAACAGTTCATTATTAATGCATTACAGTAAGCATTTATTCTGATTGTAATTTTTCCAAGACTGTGATGAAAAGCAGTCTATATGTACACTCCACCCCACACTGCATGGCCTTTATTTCTGCCTTTCAAAAGAGACTTCTCAGACTTGGGTAGAGATTAGTCATTCTTCCTTACGACCCATTCCTGCAGAACCACTTATGCTCTACCTATTCTTTGGATTTAAAAATAGCCCTTCTGTTTTGATCATTTGGGTTGATGACCATAAAACTTGTTTGAAAGAGAGAACTGAGAGGTTTCTGCTCTGGAGCCAAACCCCTGGAACGGTGGACAAGCACAACAGGGAAACATCAGTTACAGAGCTGAGGAAACAAGTGTGCTGTATCAGATACTGCAAATTGCAGAAATTTGTTATTCTAAGTGAAGAAATGCTCAGGCTCTGCCAAAAGGTCAAATGGAAAAGAGCGCAGCTAAAGAATAAAGATTTGGTCTGTGCCAAGAAACCTAATCTCATCCTATCTACAATGTTGATGGTTTTTGTTTTACCTGTTGTAACTTACTGGTCTCTCATCCTGTGATGCCTTGCTTACAACTGATTTTAATGAGACAAACCATCCCTCTCCAAACAGTGGAGCTAACTCTGGTAAAAACAGAGCACACAGATGAAGGATCGAGCCCCTAGATCAAAAGCTCCATGGGGCAAGGACTGTAATTCCTGCT